GACAAATCAAATATCCAATTGACCGCCACTGTTCTAGCCAATGAAAGACGAAAAAACCTGAGTCGCGGGAAATATAACCACGTTATAACGTATATCCCCACCCCTTGGTACTCCGTCGTGTCACGTTCATTCGTTCGTGCACGATCCCTAGCCAGCTAAGCAATCATCCTCGCATTACAACTCGGTCCCGAAATACACTTCGTATTTTTTTATTATAGCTTGATTTCACACCGTATTTTTGGTACAAGTATGGTATTTTTAGCATGTGATATCGGATGATCAATTTTGTGTTTCGCTTTATCTTTGGTCTACGTGAATAATATAAAAGTTGAGGATATTATATTTTGCGTAAGTATACATCATACTATCCGTGAACATCAGCACCCTAGGCCTCTAAAAGAAAATTTAGCAGGATATAATGGCATCATCACACTTCTACGATTCTTCTTGACTGCATAGAATCATAAACAATTTAATATCCATATAAAAATTATTCAATTACTTACCATTATTCTTCTTGGTCACGCGATATCAATACCATTCAACTTTATGATAAATAAATGAGGTATGTGAATATTTTATATATTAATATCAAATTGTTGGTGATTGTATGCATTTGATAAGAAACAAATAGATCTGGTGACATCACTTTATCCCCCTAAATTTGTTCTTCTTACTTTGTTGAAGTTTAATCAATTAAAATGATCATATGAAATTCCTAAAGAAACACCTTCCTACCTATAGGTTCAAACCACTGAATCCTTTAGTAAAAATTGGTGCAGTAAAGCGACAGGAACTATAAGACTGAAATCCTGTGATTAGCGTCAGACTAGTGACTGCTACCCAGGTCAGTTGTTGAAGTCCATTCGTTCATGTAAATTCCAACCTCAACCCAGAAGACTTCCACGAGTGGAAAAATCTCAAGTTGATTACACGAAATAACTTATCCCAAGGTTGACAACGGAAGGCAATAGCTTCGAAAAGGTGGTTCAAGAACTAAATCTAATAAGCAGAATCAAGTTTATTAACTCCATCTGTAACGTTTAGTCCAAATTGTGCGTGACATTTATGAATTCTCCTTCAGAGTGTCCTGAAGGGTAAATTATTCGTTAGTTTTCCTGACAATCCAGCGAAATTTACTCACAATCTGTTTTTTATTACTGCTTGATGCCACACCGCATTTTCGGCACAAATATAGAATTTTCAGCATGCGATATCGGTAGCCCAAATTTTGCAAACCGACTATTGATATCAGGTGTTCGTCGGCAGGGGGATCGAGCCCCGGACCATGTGCATGGTCGGCGAGAGTCCTAATTACTCTGCCACCGACGCACACTGTTAAAGCTATATCAAAGTCAATTTCGACTAGAAACACTGTAACTCGCTTTTCAGTTTCATATTCCGATAAAATACGCTACAGTTCACTCAGAAAGTTAGTTCGCGAAATAAATTGGACCATATTTTCAATACTGCAGTTATTCACCAGTTGAGTAGCCCATGGGCGCACACCCCTTTACATGGTACAGTTGGCTGCCCATCGATGATTACGATGACAAAATGGCAACGCTATCTGAAGTGATCATCTCCTCAAAAGTTGGCTGGGTTAAAGTGTACAATCAGGTCCTGACAGCACCAGGAGACATTCCAGAATAACATTACCACTTTGCCTTTCTGACTGTTTGAGATCTTATTTATGTCCTTAGCTCTTCTGAATTCAGAACAGTCACTTCAAGGCTTTATTGACTGAGGATTTTGAGGTCTCGACTTTGTACACAAATACATAGATAGCTGCCTCGCAGTAAAATTATATAAGAAAACCCACCTCTGAAATTTAGACTTGGCCTTCAACAACTTAAGTTATCATAAATATTAACATTTGATAAGTAGGGGCAATATGTCTTGAGGTTTTCGGCCTTAACACTGACCACTGGCCAGGAATGGGAAGCCGATTGTGAACTTTCAGGACCCCAAAGGTATAAAACATCATGGAACTTTTGCTGACCTGATAAGTTATTATCGATAGTTCATTCCCAACTGTGCCGGTTTCATGCAACTACTAACAGGTCTCTGAGGGAAATGTGCGTAAATCTTAGCGCACCCGCTTATGGCGCTTTATCTACAATTAAAAAAGTTATTGCATATGCCATCTTGCCGATGTGACAGGATCTAACAGCACTTTCGCGCATCCCAACGCATAGTGGACTGCAATCTGTGCTGCTTTACAAAACCTTGTTAGCAGTTAGTGGCAGACTGAGGAAACAGTTGGCTGCTACTTGAACGACTTGGAGCTTGTTCCAGGTTGAATCCAACCAGAGATAGCAAAAGTGGTTGTTGTGTGATCATCTATCTTGATAGGTCCGTCTGTTGAGAACGCTGCCTGGTGACCCTTTATACCTGGCCCACCTAACGTGATGACTAGACCGACCTTAACACCGCCCCCAACTAGTTAAGTGATAATATAACACTGACCGCCGTCCCAGTGTTTTAACGATGTTATGCAGAGAGTTTACAGATTCACAAATACATCACGACGCATCAGCCGCACCGTTGTTCGTGGAAAACCTAATGGTTAACAGTGTTTATAATTCCGAAAAAATAAACAAATTGGCTGTTGAGGGTGAAACGGCTGAGGTTAAATTGATTTAATGGACTTCTTTTATCCGCTAAAGCAGCCATTTATCCTTTCTTTCTGAAGGCTACAAACAGGAGAAACAAAGTTCAGGGCTTTCGTCAGGGAGCTGTTCATCACTTCTTACATCCGGTGGAGAGTCGTCATTTCATTTCCACACACCGAAGAACACTCACGTAATCTTTGAACACAACATCATATGGATATTCAAAAGGACAGTCAAACCAGTCAGACCACATTACAAAGCTCACCTCAGATATTCACGGCGTATCTTGTGCCGGTATCACTATCGTAGATGCCTTGTGGTACCCCGCTCTCTCATCCACGCTGACGACATAAAGTTTGTGAAACTGGCGTGTCTTCAAAGAGGTGGTTGTGGGCTTCAACTCTGGAATTTCAAGAGAAAACATTAGCCCCAAATAAGGATACGATTCCTTATTAGGCCTCCAACAATAGCCTTCCTCCTGTTGTACCTATACATTACATAGCTTATCTCACTCCAGCGTCCGAGACAACATCAACCTCAGTACCGGTTGGTTTTGCTGACTTTGTATAAATGAAGAAATGAGTCACTGACCTCCTACATGCATAACTTACCAAAAAGTACCGAGTGATAGGAAGCACAAGAGGCTCTCTTGAAACTTTTCCCACTTCAGCTGCTCTCATCAACCGCGTTCTCATACATTTCGTTGGACCCCCTCTGGAATCTCATCGATATACCCATATGCTGACTCATGTTGGACACTATACTCGATATCTTAGGGATGTTTCACCTGAAAAAGTTGTTCGCACTTCATTGGAAAGATAGTTTGTGAATTACACATACCTCATCTTCTACGACAGCTGATCGCATGGAGAATGAACTGAGTCAGTTCAGTCATTAAATAAGTTTTCACTCTGAAGACCTGTTTCATTGTATCGCGTTCGACAGAAATCATGAGTTGAGCCCTGCAGATAGTGTATTGCATTAAGCATTATTTACGTGAGATGTAATTTACTACTCATATTCCTATAAAAGACTAATAATGAAGGTAAAAGAAAACATTTTTAGCTGCAGATTGGCGGTAACAAATAAATCGACATTGTCATTAGTATTGCCGATAATCATCGAAGCTTTGATGTTATCAACTATTGGAAACAACTTACATATAGATGGGAATAAATATATTATTATTGAAATGAAGGCGAATCAGAAAGACCCAAAGATAGCATACTGATGAATACCACTAGCTACTGACTTTCGCTTAAGCACTATACTGCCTTGTATTACGTGAGTAGCTCCGAATCCGAATTGGAATACTGCATTCAGTGCTAAGAGTATTTACTCGAGTAGTCGATTTTTTTCGACGTGCCTACTACAGTCAGTAAGTACAATAATAACAAAGTGTTCACTGCTTTCAGATTCAGCGAAATCCTCTTTGTGTATAAGTAATTAACGGGTGATATTTGAATCTGTCTTGTTCTTATTCCACAGAATTGTCTCTCCAAGATATACAGCAAAGTTATTATCTTTCCCGTAATCTCAGAACACACACTGATTGCAGGACTTTTCCCTTAGTTGGCCGCTGGCAACAGGATCAAAATAGAATATTTCCCGTGACGCTTAGGTTACGAAAGGCAAGCGAAGCCCTTGTCATTATTTAAGCTGGATCCACGAAAAATAGAACAGGAATGTTTGACCCTCTTTGTACCAGCAAGACCTGGAAAACATAACCTGAAAATGTCCAGCCTTTGTCTGGCCTGATTTCACCTAAAAACACAAACCATTTGGTCGCAAGATATGGATTCCGGAACCCGTTTTAGGTCTTCATTTATGGTAAAAATGTCGGGAATAAACCCATTCATGCTTTTCTAACCTTAAGAGAAGTTGACGAAAACGACTGGTTTCCTGAGATTTTGTAAATTTCGAGAAATGAAATCTTCAGTTCAAAATGATCCTCTGTCTACTTGTTAACCCAGAGTGCTCTACGGGGAGTTATTTTGCCTGCAAACCAAAGGGTAATCCTGCCACTGTTTCCAAGATAAACACTAGAAGTTTGACAATGATGTATCAAGACTACAGTCTGCTGACATTATTAATTACTAATGTACACTCGCTTCATAAAGATGCTTGAGAAGAGGCATTAGAACAACCGTTTTAGGATTTCGTGATTATCAGACAAAGCAGGTCACTGATAATCAAATACAATCTCAAACAAATCAGCAAAGACGAAGTCTGTAGAGGAATAGCGTCAACCCAACTGAAAATACGTAGACCAGTAAACTACCTTCAAGAGTTCGAACCAGTTGAGGACTTCTGTCTTACTTACAGGGATTAATTTTACACCACCCATTATGAAGCCAAATGTGCCCATGTTAGTCATATGTTTATCTGTCTTTTGGAGCGTGATTGAAGCGATGTGTTACAGCCGTATTCAAGGTCATCCCACCAATTCAACATAGTCTTTTCTGTGTGAGTATCATTCCATTGTGATAATTCACCTCTCCATTATTGTTATAGTTACTGAAATATTGTGATCCCACACATGAGAAGTTAGCATTCCTGCAAGTCTGAGAGTTAAATGACACTACTTGTGTAAATATATACACGGGAGCGAATCGCATACCAATTGTAGATTGCAGCTCAAAGTATTTAAAAGACACTGCATTTTTTCAGCGCCCTCGCCTAGAATGAAATGCAGTGTCTTCTAAATACTTTGAGCTGCAATCTACAATTGTTTGGCATGCGATTTGCTCCCGCCAAATGCTAGATGATGTAACAGGACTCGACTACAGCGACACCTAGTTTGAAAATAGGAAGTAAAGTGGTAGAGCACCTTGAACGCTTCACTTATTTATTTGGGAAGCACCATCGGCCCCGACGGGTTGATCTCTGGTGAAATCTCAGCACGGATACAAGGGGCTCGTTTCGCATATGCCAGTTTACGCCGTCTCTGGCGTAGACGAGATATCCGACTATCGACCAAAGGGCGTGTGTACTGCTCATCAGTCCGCTCCGTCCTCCTTTATGGCTGTGAGACGTGGCCACTGAGAGTGGAAGACATAAAAAGATTAGCTGTCTTTGATCATAGGTGCCTGCGTTCTATCTCCCGTGTGAAGTGGCATAATAAGGTGAGAAATATTGAGGTTAGGCGTTGAGTTCTAGGTAAACAGGGGAAGCCGATTGACGAAGTTGTGAAGCTACAAAGACTGAGATGATTAGGACATGTGTTACGTATGCCAAGCCATCGCCTTCCTCGACCGGTGGGCAATGTTAGCTGATATAGGGTCAGGCTGGTAAAAAGCTAGCGGCGGTTAAACCAAAACACAGCACCAGTCAATGAAATCCACAACAGTTGGTCTAAGCCACATAAGAAGGTGTAGACTGGCTGACTGACTGGTTGGGGTCCTCGGGACGGTAAAACCAATGGTTGGAAATAATTGGTGACATGGCTCAAAATCGTTCTCAATGGCTGGCGCAGATGCATCCACTCCTTGTGACTTATGATTTCCAATGAAACTATATTGTTCTTCGTTATTACTATTCCTTTGTCTCACACCTCTGTTTACTGTCTCTATTATGCATTTCTTATACCTTCTTCTCTTGCTTTGTGTGCTACATGGAGGGAGTGTGGTGACTTGAAGTGCCGCACAAATGTGCAAAGTTCTATGTCGAAAACAGATAGACAGAGACTGCAGTTTTCAACACAAACGTGAATTCAATCCTTCTGTGGTGAGAGATGTCTGAAAGCCGAAATTGTAGACACTTTACGTCGGTGTTTATGTCTCGAATCGGCATCGTGAGAAAAAAACAATAACAAAGCCTTACCTTCAAGAGCTCAACAACCAGTCAGAGCAGACTTAACGTGCGCAAATACGATTCGCAGATATATGTCCTGACTTCCTAAGAAACGGTCACAAACATTTCTTCTCCGCTAACAACGCCAATAATAAGGCATATAAAAATCTATAAATATCTCTTGATTTTCTCAGTAAACTGTAGAGGAAGCTGTTTCCTGTAACTTGCGCCTCGCTAGTTATTAAATTGGGAACTCCCTGTAGTGGTTTACCTCTAAGATTTCCTCTCTTCCAAGAGTAAATTGTTTCATCCATCAAACTGTTTGGATGCTTTCTGTCTAATTAATATCAAACGCTCTGTAAATGATTCGGCTGTATCTAAGTTGTCTGCAATGGAAACAGAAAGCTGTTTCAAACACCAACTCCTCTGTCCTTATTATCCAGTTACCCGGTGAACTGAAAGATGCATTGTGCAGATCTTCCAAAGAGGTCTTGTAAAAGTAGCTGCTTCTGATTGACGACACATATCCGTTACTATAACGTCACCTCTTTGGTCCAGAACCAAATTTTTTCGGATTCTTGGTGCTGAGACAGGTATGTGAAAGTTTTCGGCATGATTTCAACCCCATTCCCAATGAGTCAAAAAATGGGAAAGTGAGCCTATAACTGAGATAAAAAGGCAAAACTCAGTGGACTGAGAAGGGTAAAGTGGGTGTGAATTTTCGCTGAATACCATTTTTTCCCTAATCTCTCCTTATTTCCTTTGGTTTAATCGTTTCCACTACATTCCATCCATTTCTCAATAATATCCTCCCCTTTACTCTTGGTCTGCACTTTTTCTTTCCGTTGTTATCCCCCTTTCCGCCCAATTTGAATTTACTCGGAATTCAAAGCTTTAAAAGCACTCTAAGCTTACGCCAACGTGTCAACACTATCACATTTACGGTTTTAGGCTATCATAAATAAAGCACATACACTTTTCAAAATGAACAACAGAATGAGAATTTACACCGCCACTTTTTTAGTACAGAACTAGATGCGCACCAATTCAACCAAGCTAAATACCTGTCAACACCAGTCATGTGCAATTCGAAAATTCCTGTTTACGATTTTAAAAGGTTTTAAAGAACAAGGGATAACACACCCTGTAGGTCGGTTGAGTAGACTCTGCACAAAAATTCTGCAGTAAATCAACAAAGCATCAAATACAAAGGCCAAGCTGTCGGAAGATATGTTGTGATTTCATTGCTGAAGATGTTTGAGAGTTCTTGGAGTGAACTGCCCAGAAAAAAACATTTTCATAAGTTGAATAATTTGTGCAATTATTATTCAGATTTAAATTTCTGATTCAGGATAGAAGGCTTCAAGGCTATGTTAATCTCTTACTGATAAGCATATGTGTCTGTCTAGTCCCCTCTTGGACGAGTCAACTGAAGATGCAGACGTCACTACTTTTGGTAGAGTCGATTCTTAGGGTGGGAAAATTAGTACACTAAAGCGAAGTAGTTCCTCTCTCCTACTGTTTCCTTTAAAATGTATTGGTAGAAAGAAAAGGAGGGAAAAGGTCAGGTCTTCAGTCATTTTTCAGAATTACAAGCACCGTAATTAAATATCCTTTCTGCTTACGGTGTGAAAAGAAATTTAATACGTTAAGTCTTTCTTCTTGTGATAAATTCGTTGTATCACAAATCATACATGTAGTGTTCCTTTGAACTCTTTGTAGAATGAGTCCTTTTAAGACAAAGGCTACCTGCCTGGATAGAATTTTATTATTTTGACTTCATTAAAGTGGCAGACATTTCACTGGTAATTCTAGTAAAGGCCTTACACATCTCATGTAAATCTAAAGTGGCGAAATACTACAGATGATAGTGTGCAGTAATTCCTACATCTTGACTTACGATTACATCTAGATCCGTTACGTTTGCACTCAAGAAAGCGGTATCCTCTTTAATGTCGCTCACACGCGTGGCACTCTTTGCTGCCTTGGTAGGAAACATTCATCCTTTAGACCGATTTGGCGGATAGTTGAGATACGCTTACTACGTAAGTATATCTGTCATCCGTGAACTCTCCCTACTAAGATTTACGTCATTTGCTTAGAGAACTATAGGATATTTGTTAAACCCAGGTAACTGTTTGATATACAGGATAAATAAGATGGGGCCAAGTACAGTACCTGGTGGTCCATCACTACATACCGTAGTCCGCAAACTGAGTCTCGAGTTGATACTGGATCTGTCTCCTGCTTGCGAGAAATTCCTTGATCCATTTTAACTGGCTGCCTATCATCCCAAAACTTCCTTGTTTCATGAGCAATCCTGCATGAAAAAAACCCGACTGCTTTCTTGTCGTCCCTCAATTTGATCCAGCTTTCCATTGCTGTTAGGAGGTTTATTGAACACCATAGGTTTCTCCTTGCTGTCCACTGGGCGACAGCTAGTTTTAGTGACTGTTCTTTCCAACATATTAATCAAAATGGTGGAGAACGGATCCTCGCTTATGGATTGAGGTTACTATTGCATCCTTTCAATCACATGGTAATAATATGTGAGAGGGATAGCCTGAAGGGATTATTCAACGGATCTGTTGTGTAAACTGCCAACTCCTTTAGAGCCCTTAGGTGGAAATCATTAGATCCTACTGATTTCTCCGTGTCTAGTTTGCTTTTATGTAACCTAAAGCCATTTTTGTGTATGTAACTGTGACTCTGCTCTAGGCGCTCGACCTCCAACCAATGGACCACGGGTTAAAACCCCGCCCTACCTACCAAGATTTGGGCAACTGCGTAGTATCACTAGCCACCACAAAAAAGGTGTCGCTGATTGCCAACTGCATAGAATTTCAAGTGGTTATTGAGTAACAATTAAATAACGAATGTAACTATTTGTGCACATGTTCTGGAACCTTCCATTTGTTTCTTATTGTTCATTTTCAGATGCAGTTCCCATTCTTGATGATTACTTCTGGTGGTGGTTGCAGTCGTTTTATATTTAATTTTACTCGTATGTAACTGTAAATAATGCTTCATTTGACGAATGCTGTGGTAAAAATTAGTTCTTACTTTGCGAATATTTTCGAAACTTACATTTGGTTTTTCAATGTTCAATTTATCCAATGCTTATGACCTGCTTCTAGTCAATTATCCACTCTTCCAATTAAAGGGGAATATTAACCCTTACTGTGGGTGCCCTTCGATTCTAGTCTCTGTTCACAACGTCCATAAAAATGGTTGGGAAACTAGTTGGTCTCTATGTGAATCTATGTTCAAAGTGTTTGTACCACTATCTCCAGGTTGTAATACTTTACAATTAAAGTGTAAACATCATCTCGCTGAATTCCGAATAGTATGTGTACATAATCATAACTCGTCATTTATAGTTCGGCCTATTTATGTAATTTGTTCCGATGATACTGGAGAGTTTCAAGCTCCTGAAGGAGTAGTTTCTACAAAAGAAAATGCCTGCAAACGCATTGGACTGGGAATCCGGTTGTTACAAACTTTAACGGCAGAGGCGTTTTTTTCTGAACTTGGCAAGAGATACACTTTTATGACTAGAGAGAACTTAGTTGAAGAACTGTCTCCAGACTTTCTACAGGCATCTCATGTTTCCTGTATGTGTCATTACTCAAGTCTCAGTAAAACGTTTGTTAGCAATAGCACTCCTGAAGAAGTATGGAAGCAGTTGGCGTACGAACTTTATAAAACATATCCTGATAATTTCAATCGCACCAAATGGATCGCATTCATGGCTTGCACACGATATCATCCTATGAATAAAAGCAGTACTGAATCGCTTAGTTATGATGAGATACTTAACCGCACAACAGCTCATTTTGCCCTTGGTAAGTACACACTTTTAAAATTGTATTGCTTGTTAATCTCTCCACATACTTATCTCTGCTATATGGCTATCTGAATCAATTAACATCTTTAAACAATATTTCAAAGAATGAAGGGATTGGGTACTGCAATTTAGAATAATTATACATGTCTATTTAGTAAATCAAATAGCTAGTAGTATTGTATTGATGAGGGATTTGTTAAATAAACATATGTAATGTGAAACTGCAGGAGGGAACGGACGAGTATCTCAAATCGAGCGAGAATCGGGAAGGCGAGAAACACATTCATCAACCTGAAAACAATCTGGAAATCTTCGTTGACTGCTTTGGATCATAGATGTCTGCGATCTCTGTCTCACGTTAGGTGGTTTCACAAGGTAAGTAATGTTGACGTTAGGCGTAGAGTGTTGGGCAAAGAGGGAAAATCAATCGACGAGGCTATAAAGTTACATAGACTAAGATGGCTAGGTCACGTGCTGCGCATGCCTAATCACCGCCTCCCCCGACGGGCATTGCTAGCTGATATAGGTGAAGGTTGGAAAAGAGCCAGTGGTGGTTAAACAAAAAGATGGCATCAATCCATGAAATCCTTGACAGTTAAACTGAGTCAGGTAGGGAGACGCAGACTCCCAGGTTGGGGCCCTCGAGACTCTAGGAATCAATGGCTGGAGACAATAGGTGACATGGCTCCAAATCGTTATCAATGGCGCAGATGTATTCAGTCTCTGTAATCTTTCATATTCCTTTCTACCATTACCCATTCTGTTTCACTCTTATACTTGTCAGACTGTATTGATTCTCTTCACTCATCTTCTTGTCTACCTCTGTGTGCTATTTGGAAGGTGGCAACTGGAACTGCTGCACTTCGGTGCCAAGTTTTATGTTGAATCCAGACAGACAGGAAATCTTCGTCACTCAGCATCAACAACAAAATCCAGTCGGGTTTTCAATACAAACGTAAAGTCAGTCAGCTCTTTTATACGAATCAGAAACTTGGCGGGCGGGTCACAAAGAATATTTCCAACAGCCTGTTGCACACCTTTATCAACAACTGTCTTCGCTGGCTCTATACTGAAGATCAGATAGCCGGGCCGGAAAGAATCACCAACAAGAAACTATGACTTGGAACAAACAAAACAAGAAGCAATCGCCAACCAACAAATATGCAGGAGAAAGTGGATATGGATGGATTGGACACTCTTGGCTGAGTAGACCGCTGGGTCACATCGCGCGTCAAGCCCTCGAGTGGAACCCGAAAGGGAAGCGGCGTGTGGGACGTCCAAGGGTGACATGGAAGAGATCGTGAGAAGAGGAGTTGAAAGAGTATGGACTAACATGGATGCAGGTGAAAAGTACAGCAGAAGGAAGACAGAAGCAAGTGGATAGGTGCAGTTGAAGCCCTATGTTTCACTAGAAACCCAAGGGAGCAATAATACAATAAATAATGTGAAACTGCACTGTACCACAGTGCTTAAATCCTGCTCTTACATTAAATCCTTGGGTTATATAATTTTCAGTATTTCGCCGTAGCATATATTATCTGTCAGATTTCAAATCTGATGTAAGCCACTGGTAAAGATTAACAGTAAAAGTGTAGAGAAGGCTTTTCATCTTTACAATGCGTATTGTTAACTTCGACTACTTAAGATATAAGTCCTTAACATGTTATATTGAGCACTAAACTATAGATACAAACAAGTCACTAAGTGATACTATGTATACCTATAAATAAAGTTGAATAATGAATGTTTTTTGTAGGCTTTATCATAGTGTCAGTCCCCATACAATAGGCATGGATAATTACTTGTTGCACGAAAATATGTGTTTCATAAGTAACAGCTGAATTGCTTTGATTTACTCATACTTTTTTATTCCTGAGCCAGGATTGGGAAAGGTTAAAAAAAATAAATTTCCCAAGGTTTGCTGGTAGGTTTTTAACTGGCGTTTAACCAGATGGTTAATAGTAGTAACAAGTTTTCCTGTAAGTTTATAAGTCATTATACTCTGCCTTCCTTCACAAAGGAGTCATTCAGATTTGATATTTTTGTAACGCCCCCGAAAAAATACTTCGAATTTCACACAACCATCAAATTTCAAAGAAATAGGCTATCCATCTTAATTTGTTTTATTCCCAGAGTGAGGGAATGATACTCGACCTGAGATTTCGCATAACCGATGGGTTACGAACTGAGAAGGCAATCGTTGTGCACCTAGAACACCTCAACGCGACAATGCACTCGTATAGTGCTTCTACACTTCTGCTGAAACAGATAGCAGATTTAGAAATTTGAATTTATCCCAAGACAGGGAAAGTAAATGATAACAGAAGATGTAACTACTCATATAATTACTCTGCATGACCAGTAGTTACTATGTTTATACATAAAAACTGCCTTCCTATTAGTCAAAAATGTGTTAATAGAATATGAACAACAACCTTCGGTCTGGATTAAGGATGAAAATTTAGTGCTTAGTGTACTCTGAAAACATTGACCAATTGTCTTCTGTCCGTATTCAAAGTTTCAGTTTATAAAAACTATTACATCCACATGAGACTCATAAGCGTTATGCATTCTGGTGTTTGTTTGGCTCTGAAACTGTAACAGAAACTGTGCAAAGTGGTGATCAACAATTGACCCCTAGACCAAAGCCATGATTACCTAATTTTATATGATTTGTTTTACAAAGCAAAATGCTCAGCACAGCATAAAATTTAGTATTTTGGTAGGCCTAATGATAGATAACGGTCAGTATTCATCCATCTAATTATCAATGATGAAAGAGAAATAATTTCGGATGTGAGTTATATCCATACATGTAATACAAGTGGGATTCTATGGTCTTTGACCAGGAAGGTTTTATTCATTATCTGGTGTCCATGTTATATTTATTCTTTTCAGTGACTTCTACTTCTGTTAGATTGCGTTTGAAGCACAATGAGAAAATAGTTAATTTTGAATTCATTATGACAATATGAAATATCTTCATATCATTAGTTTTGCAAAGTACTGTATTAAGGGGACACAACCATAAAGATTGTGCATTGAACTTATCTCCATGTATTTCATTATCAGTTTCTAAATGTCTTTAAACTGTTTTGTTCCTCTCGTTCTCCGGTACATTCAATTTACATGTCCTTGTTTAGGAACAGGAGGTTTAGCTCTACTCGGGACAGGAACATTACATGCTTGGCCAGAAAGTATTGAAGATTTGCAGTCGGTGATGCAAGATACTCGGTTAATTGATACAACTTTGATGGATGATACTGCGTATCGGTAAGTTGTAGTTTCTATCACCTATGTTTGTCTAGCCAACTGGAATTTTGAGATAGATCAGTCTATCCATTTTTAAAATCTGCCAACAGTTCGTTCTTATTTATTGTCTGATATATTTTGTAACAGATACTTCATAATTAGTAGATTTAGTCAATACTTGTCAATCTTGCTACCATTATATTTCAGTCATTTTCTAATGAAAGTAGCTTGTTATGAGAATAAACTGATAACCAACTAGCCATGATCTGTAACTGTTGGACAGTCATTTATGTGCTTACTGTGCTCATGCTGATTCACCTTACTGTCGATAGAAACTTTTTAATTGATTAAAAATGACCATTAAAAGTTTTTTTTTAAAAGAATGGATACTGAACAAAGAGTACTCTTTTCAATAACTTCATCATCAGGCTGTACAGTTACATATACATTATAGTGAATGAATGAATGAATTAGTGTTATGAACAACATTAACGCTGTTTAAATAACATCGAATCATTAATATTGATAGATTACAGTTCAATAGCATCAAAATAAAATAAGCTGAATGTCAGAAAAATTAGGAAAGATAATATTACAAATTCATGAGTTTATAGTTTCTACTAAAAGCCAGGGCAATAGTAGGGGCTGGACTTGGCTGCCTCTTTTGAACACAGAGCACTGGTTGTTTGAAACGAATCGCAATAGCCTCCGCTGTTTGGAACATGTGGTGCTTCGATGATTTCGGCGATTTATTAGGCACCCGGTAGATTGTAAAGAAGGATTCTTCCAGGCTGGCTTTGTGGCCGGTTTGCACAAGATGGTCCAATATCGAACTGTTAATGGCTTTAACTACACATTTACTTGGCCATAGTGGGAGATGTTCTTGAGCATGAAAAATCAAGTTCTTAAGGACATTAAGGACATCAGTAAACAGTTATGCCATCCAATTTCCTCTTTGTGATTATTAATTTATAGTACAATATACGAGAGATAGAAAGCCCACTAGTGTACGTTGTCGTATTCTGCTGTGCTTTTATATAATGGTAATGAATCTGCTGTAGTTTTTAACATTTCTAATCCACAGTTGAGTGGAATCATAATGCAAGAAAACTATACAACCCATCGATTGAGGCCTCAATGACTTTACATAATTAAGCATAATGATAAAGTGTACGGTTGTGTACAGTGTCTGTTTCTTTACGTATATCTATTGCCTTGAATATTTGTTTCACTGGACTTGTTTCTTAATAAATTTTGTCATGTTTTCTCTGGGTTTTTTTCAGACACACATTTTGGGCAGCCTTCTCAACTGGATTAGGAGCTGTTTGGCATGAATTAGGTCATTGTTTTGGATTGGAACACTATCCTCATGGAATAATGTTTCGCGGTGATGATATTAACTTATGTCTTGGTTTTCCACCTCCTGATTCCATGTGTCCACATGAACTCAGAACAAATGGAGAAGTAATTCAAGGCTTATGTCAACCTAAAAATCAAGCTATCAATAGTCTTTGTGGTAGAGTTCTATGTCAAGTATGCCAATCTTGCTGTACAGTTATCGTTAGGTGACTCTTTTAGCATTTATAAATTCGTTATCATTTTTTTAATGCTTATTTTAAAATGATGGTGTAGTTGAAAACCGCAAAGTTGATTAATGGTTTCAGTTTTGATATAGTTAATAAAAGCATTTCTCTTTAACTCTGCCATCGATGATATTCTGGAGTCAGCTCTGAAGGATGTGCGTGAAGGGGGTGTAGATCTGCTACCTGGGGATAGACTTTTCGACCTCGAGCATGCAGACGATATCGTCTTACTGTGCGATAGCATGCAGGCTGCCCAAATCGCACTTATTCAGTTGGAGATCAGTGTTTGTAAGTATGGTATATGCTTTGCGCCGTCTAAATGCAAAGTACTGTTACAAGATTGGCAGGAGCCTGTACCTGCACTCACTCTTGCGGGTGAACCGCTTGAAGTTGTTGATAAGTTTGTGTTCCTGGGTAATTGTGTGAGTGCTGGCAGAGGTGTGACGGATGAGATTTACAACCGTATAATGAAGGCTAGGGTGGCATACACCAACTTCAGCCACCTTCGGCGCCGTCGCGATGTTAGCCTGGCTGTCAAAGGTCGGGTATACAATGCTCCAGTGCAGGCTGTCTTGCTCCACGCCTGTGAAACCTGGCATCTCCGAGTAGGCTGAGGATGTTCGGCGACTCTGCATGTTCGATCATCTCTGTCTCCTCAGGATTGTCTGCGTTCGATGTCATCATCGCGTGAGTAATTCTGAGGTTCGGCGGCGTGTATTTGTTTGAACACTGTGGAGATCGCCATTCATTGAGTGTTGTCATCTGGAAACACTGGCTCCGGTGGCTTGGACATGTGGTGCGAATATCATCCCAGAGACTTCCGTACAGGTCTCTGTTCGCTAGCCAGTCCTGGGACGGGATGGAAAAGGCGGAGAGGTGGTCAGTCTATGACGTGGCGTCATGGGATGAATGATGTTTGTGCTATATTAGCATCGGTTGGTGCGTCACGACTCCCTGGTCGGGGTCCGCGAGATAGCTCGAATCGATGGCTCGAAACGTTATCGGATATGGCCAAGAATCGTAATCAATGTCGATCGTGTTGCAATTTCCTTCTTTCTTCCCTTCCCGATGATAGTTAACGAATACTTTTTGAACTTGTTAAGCATGACTGTTTTCCTTCCAAATGAAGTTCTTTATCCGTGCTCTACTTATATGTTTTTTATACTTTTAATCCATGTTGTTTTATTATTATTGTGTGGCGCATGTTTCTTGGTACCATATTGTACCAAGTTGTTTTCTGCGTTTAAATAAACAAATAAAAGCACTTAGATATAGAATACCATGAACAAAACTGTGATGAATTTTTACATTTAGTTGCTGAAAGGTTGCTACTCATAGCACTTAAGTACTCATACATCCTGATTTCAGAAAGACTTAGTCAGATGCATGTAACACCGTTATGGTGGAAGAAGTTAAAACACTCGGGTATAACTCAACCCCTCCTCTTACAGTTTTAAACTCTTGCATCCTACCTATTCTTCTTTATTGTTCACCCTTATTCTTTCCTGGTTTGCTTAAAAATGACTATGTTACAATTTGTAGAATGCTGAAGACGGTCAGTAGGGTGAGTGGTGCCCCAGCGGACCATATAGTTAATGTTGTTATCGATAGGCACTTGACTTCGTGCAATAAATTTGCTAGAGGGATTTTGTCTGACTTGGAGCATCCGCTTTACCCTCAGCTTTCACCTTGCATCTCTTCAGGTAGAACAAGAAGTAACTTCAGAAAACTGTATGCTCGCACGTCTAAGTATAGAAATTCTGTGAAACCATACCTGTCACGTATTTTATGTGATAAAAATAGTGTCAGGCAAGAATTAACTAACCTTTTTTCATCTAGTAAATAAACAATTTCCTCCATCCATCCTTATATACCTTCAAGTTTTACTTTTATTATTTCTATTATATTTATGGTCCTGTTGCTACCTTGTTTGTTTTACTTTCATGATTGCAAACACCAACTTATCTCCATGACTGCTGTAATCTTTGTTTTTCCCCTCACCATATCATGTAAAGAGAACATTATATTCAATATTTTTAAACATGTTAGGATTTCTATACCGCATTGACAATACTGTGTGTAACAAGCCCAAGGCAATTTTCACTTGTATTGTTATTATTATTACCTTAGCTGTTATCATTATTATTATTTCCAATTATTAGGCTGCATGTTTTTGACATTACCTCTATTGTAAATGTGGAAAATTTTCTGTGTGATTAATTTTTATTTATAATTTGAGGAAATTAGATGCAATATTGTGATTAATGCTGAAAATTCCATTCTGTATCACAAGTACTGTTTTTGGAATAAAGTAAATCATTATTATTATTATTATAATTTAAGGAAATATCTACAATTATTGAAGTAACTGTAATACTTCAACACACGACAGTACATGACTGAAAACTCGAATCCTACTTTCACGCTGAGAAGGATGAGTTTATTCCTCCACAAAACATTAAGATTACCACAAATTATAAGTCATTTATGTAGTTCGTTTACATGACCAATGACGTACAAGTTTGGTGTATAAAAACTCTGTTCTAACAAGTTTGCTTTGTATCAATAAAAATTCAATCACACAACCTCTGACTAATTATGTCTCCTCTTCATCTCGACAGTTATTTTGGATGACGTCTTATTAACTATTCTGGAAACTTAGTTTAACATTCATATATTAACTGCAATTTAGCGCGTCAGTGATATTATATATGCTTGTATTACGTGTCTCTATAAGCATGTAGACTGTTTGCTTTTAGAGTCAAACTCACTGTTATAATCTAATTGTAGATTGCGTAAACCCTTGAAACTTATTGAATTGAATTTTTGATTTTCCCGTCGATTGATTGGACCGAAGTGCTCGGTCTCAGGTTGACATGTCGGCTTCTTGTGCAGATGCTTCGACGATGTCTGGGCATTTAGTTAGTATACAATTGGTGGATGGTGGCTAGCAGTGGATTCCACTGCTAGCCACCATCCACCACCTTGAAACTTAAGTAGTTGTTGAGAACAGCACACATGAAAAAAAAGGTTTCAGGTCCCAAAACAACCTGTTGATCGAACGATTGCATCATTTAAACTCTAGATTACTTATTTATATCACAGATAATCATTTGATCCCATCACAGTTAAAAAGTCTCATAAAATCGTTGCTAAATAGAGGGATGTACTGCAGTTTTCGCATTTCTAAGCTTAGCTTTTGGGGTTGCATAAGGACTCACGGTTAAGTGGTTGTTTCTGTGAGTATAGCCCAAATTGTTTTTTTTTTTTCAATTTGTCACAGATATACTTCTATGGTTAACTGTTTCTTATGTAGGATTCACATGGATTTATGTAAAATCAAGAGATCTTCTAATCAGTTTAGAATATTCAGAATATGTACTTTTGTCATCTTACAAGTTTTTTAAATATTCCCATTTTTAATATTAAAACAAGACATATAAGCGAATAATATTGTTTTCAGTTAGATCTTCTTCAGGCTTTACTCTAATTCATATAGATTTATATTTAAACATTTTTAACCAATGACGGTGATTTTGTGGATCAAATAATAATAATAATAATATGGTAAATGTTTTGAACGAAATTAATAACGATGATTATAGTGATAACAAAATATTGATAATAGGGTTTATGCAGGTGGCGATAAGAATAACAAAGGTGGTAATATGTGTATATGTAGACGATTCAATAAATAAATTAGGTCAAATCTTAAAAGTTACGTAATACTAAAGGTGAAGTAGACAGATAATCAAAGTTTAAATAAATATCATAAAAATACGAAGGAGATGGAAAATAAGGGTGGGAGGGTTTTGAATAGAATTCACCTAGGCCAAGGGAGAGACAAAGGTAAAACAGACTTCTTTTGTATGCAAAGACTAGGATTGTTCTCTCGAATTCCCATAGCTTCGGCTATGTGTAAAAGACGGATTCGAATTCCGTCCGAAAGGCTCAATGGAATGCGATAGATAACTTTGAAGGTTTTATTTTTGTCCCCTTGGTGACCTCTGTCAATCAAATGAGCCAAAATAGAACTTCTTATAGATTTTATTTGACCTTTTCCGAACCATGAACCGAGATGCTCATTAATGCGTTTGTTAAGCTGTCTAGTTGTTCACCCTATATAGCTTTCTTCACAGGAGCAACTAAATTTATAGATACACATGGAAGCGGCACCGCAAGGTATCTTATCTTTCACTTGAGCAATCATAATTGGTCGGCTGGAAAATGACAAACAGAGGGTAATGGCAGTACAAGTCCGCTTTATCGCTCTCGATAATCTCTGACTTAAGACTTCGCTAGCCACGTCCCCATTAAATTGAAATTTCATGAACAGTTGTTTCTTTTCAACTAATGTTAGTTTCTCTTTATTGTACTTGCTGTTCATGTGTCTCCTTACAAATCTACTAGGATAACCCATTTGGACAAGTGTATTTTGGATGTATACTAACTCATTTTGTAGGGAGTCATCTGTACAGATACGTCTTGCTCTGTTCGTGAGGCATCTGACCAAATTGACTTTGTATTGGATTGGTACAAAACTAAGGAAATGTGTATATTGTCCTACAGATGTAGGTTTTCTATAGACATCTCTCTTGAGTGAACCATCCTCTCTTCTGCCCAATTGGACGTCCAGGAAATGTAGTCTACCATCATGTTCTTCTTCACAAGTGAAGATGAGCGATGGATGTGCATCATTAAATTTTATTAACATTTCATTCTTGTCAGCTTTCACCTCAAGAATAATAAATGTATCATCAACATAATGAAAATAAGAATCAGTTTTTTCTATTACTTGTTTCAATGGACCATTTTCCACCTTAGCAAGAAATAAATCTGCCAAAATTCTTATCGCCACCTGCATAAACCTTATTATCAATATTTTCTTATCACTATAATCATCGTTATTAACTACGTTCAAAACATTTACCACATTATTATTATTATTTGATCCACAAAATCACCGTCACTGGTTAAATATTTTTATATATAAATCTATGTAAATTAGAGTAAAGCCTGAAGAAGGATCTAATTGAAAACAATATTATTCGCTTATATGTCTTGTTCTAATCTTACAAGTTGACCAAATATAGTCATTTCCACGTGTTTATTAGAATATTTTAACGTTTTACTGTTCTGTTTAACGGTGAGTTTACAAACATGTCTCGATTAAGATGCTTGGGAGATTTTTTGATTGTATGCGCAGAACATGACATCCATACAAGTAGTGTATGACAAACATTGCAAACTTGAAGGAACTCTGTCCTCTTCGATAGTATCACGGAAACGCGTCGAATGGGTAGCTAGCTGTATATGAAATGGTTCAATATTGATCTAGAGGTCGTTTATCTGCATATTCCTATACTGAATTCACCACTTTCATGTGGCACCCAGCGTATTTTCGCATCACTGTGTATTATATTTCTATCCTACCTCTGTATATCTCATGCTTTAATACACATAACGTTATAAAGAATTATAAATTGTTTGTATTTAATAATTGTTAACACCGTATCACTATATTGTTATACTCAATAAACCAGTAGCTAAAATCTATTCGTTTATTAAGGTGGACGTGGCTGGGATAAACAACTACCTCACTATGATTCCTCACGCAACCATGAAAGCTAAACTTGGAGGTTAAGAATAGTACGAAATTGTCATACATTGTCCTACTAAGCAACAATTTCACTAGACTTGCATGCCTTGTTACAAATTTTTCTGCAAGAATCTCAAAAATGATTCGTTTGTTGTCGTCATTATATAGTTTCTAGTATAAGAACTCAAATCGGCACACTTGTTGTACGTTTCGTCCGTTCATCCCAGTCGACTTGTCGCAGACCAGTCTCAGTCGACACAATTGCAAGTTTCAGTGCGTGGTGTTAAACCTACAAAATTTAATATACTAAATTGTCTGTTGTATTTAATAAGTGTTCTGCTGCATTTTATATATTGCCTATATGTCTTAAATTATGTATGCCGTTTTTCCATCACAATATCTATGTAAACTAGCTGTTTTTCTCACCGAAAAGATTTATTTAGGCATAGTTTGTAATCAGTTATACTTATCTGTAAGATCAAGTTTTTGATATAATGACGAACTAGTCAGTGAGAAGATTTTGTATTTATATTTCAGTTTAAACCACCTACATCTGTGCCTGGTATTATGCAGTTCCATCGTATAACTCAGTTTGTGCCAGTGAAATCCACTTCACATTCTTTAGATCATTTCAATAATGGAGAAGAAAAGAATTCAAAACAATGGGGATTTTGTAGTTCTTTATGGCATCAAGGTTCCGCATTTTGGGGATCGGAAGCACTTTCAAAGTTAATTTCAAGTCCGTAAGTTTTGTCCACAGAATAGCTCATTATGTTTTATGTAGGATTTTTTAGACTTTTATTTCCCAAATCTAAAATTGATGTAGTTTTTAAACGTCGCGATAGGGACTATCCATACACGTGAGTGCTGGCAGAGGTGTGACGGATGAGATTTACAACCATATAATGAAGGCTAGGGTGGCATACATCAACTTGAGCCACCTATGGCGCCGTCGCGATGTTAGCCTGGCTGTCAGAGGTCGGACATACAATGCTCCAGTGCAGGCTGTCTTGCTCTACGCCTGTGAAACCTGGCATCTCCGAGTAGGCTGAGGATGTTCGGCGACTCTGCATGTTCGATCATCTCTGTCTCCTCAGGATTGTCTGCGTTCGATGTCATCATCGCGTGAGTAATTCTGAGGTTCGGCGGCGTGTATTTGTTTGAACACTGTGGAGATCGCCATTCATTGAGTGTTGTCATCTGGAAACACTGGCTCCGGTGGCTTGGACATGTGGTGCGAATATCATCCCAGAGACTTCCGTACAGGTCTCTGTTCGCTAGCCAGTCCTGGGACGGGATGGAAAAGGCGGAGAGGTGGTCAGTCTATGACGTGGCGTCGTGGGATGAGTGTTTGTGCTAGATTAGCATCGGTTGGTGCGTCACAACTCCCTGGTCGGGGTCCGCGAGATAGCTCGAATCGATGGCTCGAAACGTTATCGGATATGGCCAAGAATCGTAATCAATGTCGATCGTGTTGCAATTTCCTTCTTTCTTCCCTTCCCGATGATAGTTAACGAATACTTTTTGAACTTGTTAAGCATGACTGTTTTCCTTCCAAATGAAGTTCTTTATCCGTGCTCTACTTATATGTTTTTTATACTTTTAATCCATGTTGTTTTATTATTATTGTGTGGCGCATGTTTCTTGGTGCCATATTGTACCAAGTTGTTTTATGCGTTTAAATAATAAATAATAATAATACACGTGAGAGTAAAGCATAAAAGCATCTACAACACTGCAATCGATTTTGGGTTATATAGCTTAGGGTTTTCAACGAGAGTTTCCAGCGACAAAGTGCACTGCAGTCAGTCAGCTGCTCATTACTACACAGCTCAGACCATCATTGGAGGGCTCAGTCGATAGGTATAATGTCTTAGCCTAGTCACTCTTCACTTTCTCCTAATCTAGTTCTATTTTCAGCAAAATACTGCATAACATATGTCTCAGTCACCTCAGTTGATGAAGACTACAAATTCTTCACCTGATTTAACGCACTCTACCTAAACATATACATTGCTCACTTAGTGCCTCCTCCAAATGGAGGTCGAAAACACGAGGTTTCTGTGTGTTCTCAAGCTTGAATTGGCATGTCTCATAAACACACATCGGGATAGTGCCTGTTTATGCACAGTGAACCAGACGCATATGTAGGCAATCGTTTATTTTGCCTTGACTATAAGTGGTGCGATTTAGTAAAAGTTAAATTAACCTTCTGTATTCGTGGAGAGATTCTGTTAGCTACCAACCTACCAGAGTTGATATGATTTCCCAAATTAGGAAAAGTGTCGACTCACTCACTTCATTTCCCATACTATCAAGCAGTAGTTGACATTCAAAAAGTGGAACAACACAATCTAGACATTTTAAAATTACTAATCAATGTGTGTATTAGTCTTCGTGTCGTTTTGTTGTCGCAAGCCAAAAGAGATATGTCTTCTGCGTATTCTAATTTAACCGAGGTATCTTCTGTGGGGAAGCTAATCCCTACTAAGTCATATATGCAACTGTAAATCTCCAAAAACAAAAATATGATAATGTCAGATACCATTGGATATATACACCTCACAAGGAAGCTAATCATACTAACTAACAGGTAACCTTGTCAATAGAAGACACTGTCATGTGATGCTCTCACAAATGGAAACAGCTACGGCCCTTCAAATCAAGAAATACTGCTAATTTCTGGCTCGTCGTTTTTCCAGTCTCTGAAAAGGAGCGAATACCAGGTAGATTCACCCATGGACAAGTTTGAAACTAACCTTATTTTCTCGTCTAATGGCTTTGAGTCAGTGGGGCCTGGGTTCAAATCCTGCTAGTAGTATAACCAGCCCTTACATAATAAGTGCGGTTCATAGACTAGTACATGAGAAATCTGTCTTTGCTAGTTGGGTTTCTCGTTTAGACTACGGCTGAAAAATCTTGGAGTCCAAATGAACTGGTTTTCTTCTCCTCATTGATCTAATTGGCTCCATTATGAATGAATCAGTAATCTGGCCATAGTTAGAGTTTCGTTAAACTCTGCTTTATTTAAATCTGGTATAACTCATCAATCTAATTAAGCATCTTCTATTATTTATCGCCACTGCATTCACAATGGCATACCTGTATTCACTTCTTGTCATCCTCTATATTGGGGAAATATTCACCAGTCTTCATTTAATAACAGTTTTTGTCACACTAACCCTTACAAACCAAACTATAAAAAATTAATCTGATGCTCGCTAGTGACTTGCTACAGGATGGAGTTTCCTGGAGTTCAAGTCAGAAGTCGTGACCAGTAAGGTCCAATTAGATGTCACGTGTGTGGACTGTTGTCCCACCAACGACAATGGTTGGGGTCGCGCTAAATCACGAACTGGTAGAAGTTAGAATTCATGTAGTGGTCATTGAATCGGTTCCCAGTGGCTGAATGGTATACGAGCTTGACTTGTAACCGGAAGGTCCTGGGTTCGAACCCTGTTGGTGGGTGCGTACTCTCGATGATTCCCAAACTAGGATGAAACAGCAGCTATCCAGTACTTTCTGGTTTTCAATGCTTCTCTAACTGATATCAATCCGTGATCAACTCGTAAAAACATAATAATCCCTTACAAACCAAACTATAGAAAACACTCATATTCGTCTCTTGTAGTATCATTGCTTCCTTGTTTCTTTATTTTGTATTTCTTGCACCAATGTACTTATGCGCAAAGTTATGCGTTGTTTCGTTAGTCGGTTGATGCCTTCTTCATATCTTTAGTTTCCGCTGGCGCTATATATTTAGGGTGCCTTTGCACTTCACTGTGCGTATTTGTTAATTTCTAGAAAGCTGCTGAAATCTACTGACACTTTCTTGAAGGTCTGTCAGAGTATATATCGCAATTTTTACAGCCACATGTAGATAATGTGTTTTGAAGTAGTAATCCTTAATGATGCGTGTTTCTCTTTTTTAGATGGATTACCGAAGCATCATCTGAAGGTAAAACCCGCTGTTGAAAATTGGAATAATTACGGTCAAGTACTGATGATGACAAGTTTTCCGGCATCTTCTTACAATACTTTTCAAATGACTTTTTTTATATGATGAATACCTCTATACTCTGAGTGGTCAGACAATAAATAGTGATTTATTTAGTGACTTTACCGTTGTTATCTACTCTTGCTTGGTGTGTCTATCAGTTTGTATAGTTGAACGTCTGGAGATAAGGTTAACATTTTCTTTTTGGACAATTGAATCGGTGTAAGATAATCTTCTACTTTCCAATCTATTGTAAGTAATAAGACTGATAACTTTTCATAAATCAGTATCGAAAAAATGATATATAGATTAGGGTCTAAAATTCAGGCTCATGAGCAACGAAACAACATTCTCTAAAAGTTCACTCTCGCAAGTGTGTTCAAGTAAACTATTGAAGGATAAAAGAAATCTCACACATAAAGTGTCAGACTTCAGGTTTAGGAAACAATCAGTACCAATACAAGTAGTCTAGAGGATGTGAAAACACACGAAAACAACCAATCACGTTCAAGGCCACCAGGACAGATGACTAATAAACTCGTGGAGAAATCTAAAAGCTTACTCCAAATTGAAGTATGCACTGAAGATGTTGCCTAGTAGCAGGGCGATGAAAGCTTCGCCAATAAACCATCCTGCTCAGAGAATACAACTACATCAAAAACTTTGGAATTTTTGTCAAAGAGAAAATTTCAATTCTTGTCTTAACAATAATACCGTAGCGTTTATAAATAAAAGTGCCATTGATTACAAATCGTGCTACTTCTTCACAAAACAACTGAACTCCTAACCAGTGCTCAGATTGTAATCATTGAGAAACTTGAATTCATTACTGATATACGTATGTACATTGTTAATAACTGGTGAATGTCTCCGTGGTAATCGAATAAGATAAGTAATTTATTATCGCTATATATTGTCATAAATGTTGGGGGGAGGGGTGAAATCAGTAGATCTGGATTGGGCAATAGTCTTCATTGCAGGTAACAGTTTATTACGGTAGGATCTTCATCGACAGTTATAATTTATCGTTTAGAAATCAGATAACCCACATAGCGGCCATTTTAACAAATGCTACAGATATCATGTTTATTTTTCAAAGTATGAAAGATTTTCATGTGGTTCAATTCAAAAACACGAAAAGAACTCTCTTTGCTCACTTATTTGTTCTTAATTATATGATGTGTTATTATTCTTTAGGATATCTGTTTAGCACAGGAACTAATAATCTATTTGCTTGTCTTCTTCTACTGGGTTAGTTGATCTGTGATCGAGTTAGCACCAACAGTGACAGCTAAAGTGTCGTAATCCATATTGCAGCGGAAAAATCAATTACTTCAATCACATAAATGCGAACATTGTGGAATATGACTTGGACCATAGCGATTAAAGCCTTAATATGATTTGAAAGTAATGTAACAACTATAAATATTATCAGGACTTTTATATTTGTGAGCTTAGTAAATAATATTAAAATCATATCTAAATCAGTAGAAAAAGTGACATACAAACATCATTTCTTCTGCATATGAGTGAATCTCTTCCCAGACTGTGGTCGAAGTGATGGGAACAGACTCCGTAAATCTGTGACCAGATTTAAGTGGCAATAAGCAAATACGAACAAGGTGAGGCGCAAAGCTAAAAAGCAAATAAGAAAATCAGATTTGAAATGTGCGTCAAGTTGGAGGTAGACTACATTAATAACATGAATCATCTAATAAACTGCTGAAGACGAAGGAACACAGAATAATCGTTCTTTGTGGGTGTACAACTCACCGGCTAGGACTATGCAACGGATAGAAACCGAGTTCTTAAAGTTAACAAGCGAGCGTCTTACCACTTAGACTTTAGTTGTTCTATGATTTTCTTCTTTGCTAATATGTGAGTTGAACTTCCTCACTGCAAGAATATGTAATGCTGCAGGAGATCGTAACTCAAGTATACATCATTTTGGTAAGTATTCGTTCCTGGGTGACTTAACATCAAGATGAAGGGAATAAAGACACTTATAGTGTCACTATAGTTTAAAAGTTTTTTTTATCAAATTGTACGGTGTGTTCAAAGCTATAAAGTCATTTCACGGCAAAATTATAGAGCCCTCTGTAATGTCATTTTGAAGTCAAAATATAGACCGTTGGAGTATAATTACTTGGTTAGCCTGGTTAAACATAAAAAGACTCAACTATTGCGATTACTTGCTTAAGAAGTCCTCGCAATCGAGCAACCCTAACCGATACTCACGTCCTAAATGAGGGGCTTGCTGCCTCGTGAAGTCCAATCAATATCTGCAGTGGCTTTTTGTAAACTTTGTTAGTGCGTAGCGAAATGCTACTTAGTTTCTTTTGTTGGTCCAATGCATTGCTGAAAGCAGTGTGTCAGCTTCAAATTATCACCACAGTCCCTTTCTTCGACAAGCCGAGTAAAACTTTTTATACGTTTGTCAATCATATTGGAAACCCATTGAATTCTTCTACTATCAGCTTATCAATTTACTCTAACAAAGGAGATAAGCTAAATGGGAGTCTAAATGTTAGTTGGTCAATCGGCTATGATTCACCGATGCGTCGGTGGCACAGCGGTTAGCATGCTCGCCGACCATGCACATGGTCCGGGATTCGATCCCCGGCCACAGACGCACTCCTTTACCTCGCTAAACCAGAAATAATGCTTGTAAAGAGGAAAGGTTGGGCATGAGGATACCAACCCCATCCTGTAAAATTAAACACTGCTACAGAAACTTCAAGTCACTAGCTTAAAGCCCTATGTTCCACTGGGGAACGTGAAGGAAATAAAAAAAAATATGATTCACCAAATTCTCATGCCATTGAAGCATCTGTATTGATTAGGAAAATGGTATATTTCATAACCAGCTGTGTCACTTAAATTAATACTGTGTAGATAATTAGCATGACAGTATGTCTGTCTGTCTATGACTTACAATTAGACCATCATATGACTTTCTAATTACGTTTGTGTACACGCCCACTACCTTAGGCTAACCTTGTGATGATTGATTTTCACTGTATTCTCTCTACATGTAAGCATGACTCAGAGCAAACATTGTATTTTGCACATTACCAGAATGCAATGTGTCTTTGTTTGTCTAACAAGTATGCTAAAGTGGTATTTGTAGATTTCGGAAATAAATAGACTTTGAAGACAGACTCTGCTGTGGAGATTAAGAAATCTGTGAACACATCAGATTCCACAAGTACACTATATTAATTCTTCTCAGATGTTTTTAGTAGGTTGCACTCTATACCTGATTTGCTGAATCAGAACTAAATTTTCGGCATTTTCCAAATCACGCTCGGGAACACTATCCAGCATGGTATAACGCAAGGGTGTAATACAGTTCGGTAACAGAACCTCTGATGAGTTCAAGAAATTCAGCTTCTTTTGAAAAGTCCTTCAAATTCATATACAAACCTATCAAAGGGAGTGAAATCAAGGCATCTAGGAATAGCTGAGCCACTAGCAATCCAAAAACTCAAGCTCATACTATGTGTTCTTAAGAAATACGCCCAACCGTGGCCATCATGAAAAGTCAGTCCCATCAATAATGATTATCCTATTAGCTTTCTTATCTAATCTCCATGTTCATTTATGTTATTTCTACTCTTTTAATTCCTATCTGTATTACTAGATTTGTTTGTTTATTGTTTTGTTTTTACATCCGAACTTCCTACCTATTTTGTTATTACTATATCGTTAGTCCATAATTGTACAAACAGTCAAGTTTTTCAGTAATTATGTCTTTTTTTTTACCCGATCTTCCTGATTATTACACTTTGTAATTTTATTAATTCAACCTTTGACCGGAAATAATTCTGGAACTTTCTCGTACATTTACTTACTATAAATTTACGAATGTACAGTCTAGTGGATGACTTCGCCGAAAGGAAAACTGTCTTCTCTGCAACCTTCTTTTTAATAATTTCTGTAATCCAATGTTTAAATAGCATGATTTCCAAAAGCGGTAAACATTGGCAGCCTGCTTAAAACTTGGGCTACCAAAAACTTCCATCTCTCTATCGTACATATTTTTTCTCGTTCGGTTTGTTTTAATCGATCAAGATGTGACCTCTAATAGTATTATCTAATCTTGTGTGTATTTAAAATGTTTACAAGCTCTTGATTCACAATTTCCTATTGAACTTAAGGAATTTCCTGATTATGGGTGGCATCGTGTTCCAATACATGAGATAACTTTTCTTCAGCTATATCCTTGGGTCTCGAAAATGTACTTCTGAACATCTTACAATTGGCTTTCAACCAGATTTCGTGGATTTCTTGAAGGAAACAAAGCAGATATATCATAATGGAGTGGTTTGTGCTTCAGCTCAGAGACCACTGTGTCACAGGATGTACCCCAGCTAGCGTTTTCTTTGGGCGCACCACAGTCTGCCCCAAATTTCCTGAAGTGCGCTCGAAGCCAATGCTAGCTGGGATTGTCAATTAATATTTTACTTGAAGATATTGTACGAAGTGAAAATATCACGCAATAAACTCCTCTGAAAATTCTGTACATTTTAAAAATACTGTCCAGAATGAAGATATTTTTATTATTACACAAAAGTGTCATCCTTCATCGTTTTTTGGTGTGTGATCTTAATGGCTATCGAACTAGTTGTCACCGAAATTTTAAGCTCTAGTGAGATACTGTTGAACATAAATTTCTTGACTGTGAAGACATTGGCAGTGCTGACTCTTCTGCTCTACAGTTTAAATAAGATTTTTATATTACTGAGAGCACAACATTTACTCAGGTAATGATTTCGTATTTTACTCTATTTTTTATTGAAATCTATCTTCTCTGGCACTAGAAAGTAATAAGTGATATAAGATATTGCGTAATTCCATATTAGTTTGTTTATTAGATGTATCACACAGTGAAACAGTATTGTATACCGGATGACGTTTCGAACACAATTTATTGTTCATAATCATATCAATTGTGGTCACACGACTTTGAGATTTGAGTTTTATAGTTTTCTTAATAATTACCCGGGTAAATTAGTCAAGAAATATATAAGTAAATGTAAAAATAAAATAAATAATGATAATAGTGATAGTAATGATAATAATAATAATGGTAATAATAATAATACTAATGACGACACCAACAATAAGGAATCTAAATCATCAACAGTAATTCCATACAAGGAAGGAACCTTGGAACCCTTACGCAGAATACTTAACAAGGCAGGAATAAAAGTGGCATTCAAACCCACAAACTCAATTAGAAACAAGCTTTGTCGGTTAGAGGACCTTGTGGAGCCATTAAAACAAAACAATTTAGTTTATCTAATACCCTGCAATGATTGTGAGGTCAAATACATAGGTCAAACTAGTAGAACAGGGGCAGTCAGACTAACCGAACATAAAAACCTAGAGAAATCTAGATTGGTTGACCCGAATAAGATAAGAAATCTAGAGAGTAGTTCAGCTATAGCACTACATGCAGTTACACTCAACCATACAATAGGATGTATGGGATAGGATGACAGTTTTAAAATCTAATGTCACAGAGTATAGGGAGAGATTGATAACGGAAGCTTTGTTTATCGAATCAACGGCAAATACATGTAGTAGGAATGATTCATCACCTGTTCACCCAGATATCTGGAAAATTCTACTATCCCTACGACAAATAGGAAACGACAAAGAAAAGATATTGCGTAAATTAATAAATTTTAGCCGTAGGCTATTGTAAGTCAAGTCAAACACTTATCAGAAAGAATAAAATTTGTTTTACGTAACCTACATAAAAATTTGAAAATTTCTATTATCTAACCAAATGAAAATATTGTAGAGTTTTCAACTCACTTGGGTCATATACCACCCATTTTGACAATTGATGAGCAGCTCTGAATCCAATAAGAAAGTAAAAGTTCCCCAAGACTGAAAAAATTCCACTTAATGCACAGAGTAGCAATGATAAACGTCGGATCCACTCAGTGGAAAGATGATGACGCTAAAACAGTTATGTAAAATCAGAAATCACTTTTAATACAATTATGAGGCATTTTGTACGATATGGTTTTTACTATAAGCATCCTATTAAAACTGAATATGACAACCACGGATTATTGCACTGAGGACAAAAGGATTCCGAAATAGTAACAGTGAACTGTGGTTTTTAATGCATATTTATTTTTATATATTCATTTAACTACGTTTATGAACATTCACATATCATGACGGACAGAAGACCATTGGTTAGTGTTTCTAGTGTAAGCTATGGGATTAATATTCGTCTTCAGTTCAGATCAAAGGTTTTACTCATATTCTATTGACACATTGTTGACCAATGAGAAGGCCTATTATTATGTATAAACATGGTAACTATAGGTTCTATAGATAAATTATATGAATTGCTATATTTTCTGTTATCATTCAACTTTTCCCTCATGGAACAAAATTAACCTTCTAAATCTGATTTCTGTGTCTCGTCAACAGTATGGAAGCACTATACGAGTAACGATCTATGCATTGTTGTATCAACGTTTCGTGGCTTTACAACGGTTGTCTTCTAAAGTCGTAACGTATCAATCAGGTGAAATCTCACTTTTGATATTACTTGGTCACTTCATTACAAGATATGAGTTATTTAGGAATAAAATGAAAATTAACATTAGTTTTACAATCCAACACAGTTGTGTTCACAAGCCTAAGAAGGTATTTAAGGCGATTCAGAACGCTTCGTGTACTTCAAGCATAATAAGTTGTTGGTACAAAGGAGGAATAATATTCGATCTTTGCGGACAAAAACAATTAAATATACAGTTGACGTTTTTGGAAAGCACATTTGGAAAAATCAGAGAAAGCAGTTTCTAAAACTAATGAACAAATAAGAAATGAAGAATTATCAGCTTTAACTATAGTTTGCACTGACGTGACATAGTTGGGCGAAAGGTAGAGTTTTAAGTGGCACGATGAAAAGTATTAACCAATACAACTAAGCGGTTATGATATATTGAAGAAATATAAGACAAAATAGTGTTATGCTGACTCAACTAGATACGAAGTACCTTAATCAGGGAATACTACTAAACCAAACTATATTTTCAATAGTGATAGGAAGAAGCTAAAGTTAGAATCGATATTTTAAGCACTTGGCTACAGAGTTAAAAGATTTTGTGTTTAGAATTTGAACTTATGTTGGTTTGCTAACACGGTAAGTTCGCTGGACAGTGTTCCACCACGTATATTCAAATCATTGATCTTCTAATATAACCAATCAGATTCATTTATTTCACCACCCTCTTAACCTTATATATATATATATATATATATATATATATATATATATGTACGTGTACTTTCGTGGAATAAAGTTGTCCTCATAGTTATAGACCAGTCACTGCTTCCTGACATTTTCGTGACACAGTAAATCAGAGGGTATTCAGAGATAATAGTTGTATTCGGCAGTCAGTTGAGGTGTCCGCTGCCCTTCAGTATCTCTATAGCCACAGGCGGGACTGACGAGGATATCAAAGCAAGGCAAGCTTCCATTACTCTCAAGTCTGTGTGAAGAACAACAAAACTCCTCAGCATGAAAAATAAGATCCTGATTTTCAACTCCAATGTGAACTCAATGCTACTCACTACACGGATCAGAGACTTGACGCGTCATGAAGGGCACTACAGGCTCTCATCAACAGCTGTCTTCGCCCAGTACCCAAGATCAGATGGCCAGAAAAGATCAGAAACAGAGATCTCTCAGTAGGAACCGATTGTGCAACGAACATGTAGGTGGATTAGCCATACTCTGAGAAAACCATCAAGTGATATCACCCGACAACCCATCGCTCAAGTGGAACCCGAATGGGAAGCGGCGAGTTGATCGTCAGTACGAGGGTGACATGGAAGAGGTCATGCGAAGAGAAGATGAAATCACATGGGCAGACATGGAGTCAGGTGGAAACGTTGGTGGAAAACCAAACGCAATGGAAACGTGCAGCCGAAACCCTATGTTCCTCGAGGAACTAAAGGAAACAATAATAATACCCACGTATTAATCCACTCGAACACTTTAAATACTTATTTTGTTAATGAGCTTTTTTGGATAAATTTTTGCTTTAAATCTCGATATCCTTTTAATATTTTTCCCTCTTTTTGAGTCTTGTGCCACTAGCAATGCAATCATGAATTTGCGATTGATCATTGCAACTAAAGTCATTACAGGTAAATGTTCACTGCAATGGTTATAAATTGCTTCATGATCGATTTCAATTCATGACAGAAGTGACATTCCAACTTTTTTTTTAATACAGAAAAACAAAGAGACTTTGAGTGTTTGCCAATACAACATTTCAAATATGTGGAGAGTATTATGAAAATACTGCAACAGTTTTTCTAATCGTACAAAGAAGTAATCGGAAGCCGAGTTTCTCTTTCTGTGTATCTGTCGAATTCGATTCTTCATCTAATTACCAATAGTAGGATAAGAAACCAAATTATGAAAATATCTGGACAAATATTCCGTATGTTGCTTAAAATACCGGATGAAATAAGATGTAGAAATACCTCAGTTATACTCTATGTGGATAAAATTACATAAATAAAACTCTTAAACGTTCTATGAAATAACTTAGGTATTATGAATGATGTTAACTGGTTTAAATATTACTTTGTGTTACCAAAAACTTACTAATTCTGATCCAAAGTCGGTATAAAGGTACACCCATTTGACTAGACGTTCAGAAAATAAAACCAGTAGATTACAGAATAACCAGATCACTGAAAAAAAGAAAGTAAGAAGAGTTAAGAATCCACTGCGCTATTCTAAATATACAATTATATATATATATATATATATATATATATATATATATATATATATATATAAGCAATAATGTGCGTTTTATCCCTTGAGCTGATCGGTTTTCACTGTAGGTTTCATTTTGTTTCCAGCAGTGATGTAATTCGTAGTGTTAGTTATGGATTGGTTAAAAAAAGTTAAATATATTGTTCAAATTGAAATTCATACTTATAAAATGCTACAGTTCACTATAAATGTTAACCCGACAGTATTTAGTTAAGCTTCCAGATTAAAAAAATATCGGTAGTTAGCTCCTTTTCTGCATTTGGGGTTATTGGTCTAAGCAATCTACTTTCAACCACTGGGTAACGAGTTCGAAGTACGCTCCACCTACGGGCAGCTTCGAGATAGCATCACTAGATGTCACACAACAGGTGCAGTTCATTTCCAGCTGCATGGAACTGAAATCAGTTGTTGAGTAATATTTCCTTTTCAGACGTTCTAGAAATACATTAATACTTCTTTGATCCTTTCATTTTGCAGACAGTAATCTGTAAAATATATCAACAACCAATTCTTGTTCTTCAGGATAAGATTCTTTAAGTTAGTAACGATTAAATAAGGTGATCTAATGTTATTTGATTACCAAAACTGTATTGAGTAGATAATACTGTTCTGTATATCTAACAGGCAAATTAATACGGAGTAGTATTATACCAGTGTGGCATGTGCTACTGACAAAAATTATAAGTAGCATATAGGTACAGATAAAAATATGTGTATCATCTACAAGAATATCAGATAGGCGAGAGATGGATTTAATAGCAAAGAGAAGAAATCAACAACGCTTTTATAACAACAAGGAAAACATGAAAAGAAGACAAAGAAGCACAATACGAAAGACAAAAGTAGCACAGTGAGGAAGATATGTGCAAACTGTGATTTTAATCCACGGTAGGTCGGACACTGGGGCTATCTGTGTGATTAGTTCGATCTCTGTTCAACGCACTCCTAAACCTCGCTAAGCCAGTAGTAAGGCTTATAAAGAGGGGGTTCGGAGTGAGGCTAGTAACTCCACTCCATTAAAATAAAATAATAGCTAATATTATAAGTTAATTAAAATAGCGTCACCATAAATTACATAGTAAGTTGTAGGTTTCATGCTTACCACTATCTCTACCATATAGAACGCGGGCTAAATATGGTATTTTTGCGTTTTTTTACTTGGTTGTACGAACATATAATCTTTTATAGTGAATTCTAATCCTACCTAATGAGATGCAAAGGGAGAGTTGTGAATAGAGAGGGTGTTGAGAGTAAGACAATATAGACTAAGATCATTTCTTACATGAGTTCAGGTATCTATAGACTACAGTAGTAAGGAGCTCACTTAATAGCACATCACTTCCCCTACTGACAACCTTTAGTAACCTTCTCAGTATGGCATAGTTCTTTTTGAGTAGCCCAGGAAAAACTATGGGAAACCATAAGTAAGATAAAAAGTTAATAAATTGCAAAATTAGAGATTGAATGATTCCTGATTGTCTTAACTTCTTAATGTAGTAGGTTAGACAGAACGTTTACTTAGAAATCGAAAAGACATGGGGTAACTAAGAGAGGTCAGAGAATAGAACTATCTCAAGGTATTTCATGATTAACTTAGTTTCTATTTCAGTGCCCTCTATGCTATAAGCATTTTGTGAACGGCCTAGTTCATGTAGATTACGTTTCCGCCTTAAGGTGAAGTTAGCTGTCTGATATTTCGAGGGATTTAAGGTAAGATCACTTAGCTTAGACCACTGACTGATGTCCAACAAAAAGCTATTAAGTTTGGGACAGGCAGATCAGCCTATATCTGTACATCGAGTTGCTAAACACCTTTGTGTCCTGTGGTTACACCAGGATTCTCAAGTCTTGCCCCTATAATAGTCATATCTATTTTGTCACAAAATAATCGAATGCAAATAAAAGGAAAGAATGTGCCAAAGTTGCAGTACATTCTGTCTACCTGGTCTTTTTTGTTTCAAAAAATCATGTGTTTGATATCTACAACAGGGTAAACGAAAGCTTGTCTATTTCAGCATTTCATTACTTATGATTTTATTGTGAGCTGTACCCCTTGGACGACAGTTTATAGAACCTCATATAAATTATATTTTCATTCCGAAACTAACTCAGTACATTATAACTACAGCATACTTGAGAGTTCAAATATCAGGTTTGCTTGACTTCTATCTGACAGATACACACACATACACACACACACATGAGTTATTTATAGAACAGGAAAGAAAGTCAATATCATCAATTTCCTCCACCCGACTTACTTTAGTACTCATATTTCATTTAGAATCTAATGTTTACGTGTTTGTAAAAGTAAATAATAAGACCACAATACAATAAATTACAAGTACTCTAAAAATGCACTCAGAATAAAAAACTACTGTTGCTTTTGAGTAATAAGGTAATGATCAGTATTTATTAAGAAGCTTCATGCGACTGGTTACATAGTTGTATTGTCCCCGGTATTATTTTACTTGTTCCGTTTGTCATTCTAAATCAATTGTTTTTTACAACGATAAATTCTATGCTATTAAATTTCACACAGTATTACGTAACGTTTTTGTTTTATTCGATTTGTCTACTAATCCTATAATTGCACATCCTTTTTCAAGTTCTATCCCTCCTATGAATTATTCTATATATGACATTAATCTGCTTTGCCACTTGACATTTAACTACGATTATAATCACAGACATAATTGTATTGTTAAATGAACAGTTTTAGAGAAACATTTTCAGTAAGTGAAACACAGTCCTTCAACATATGTCTCCATCACTCACGTCGTCTTTCTCACATTTTTAAAGAATGTAACCCTGAATTTTAAGCAAATAAATGTTATTAAAAAAATAAAGACTATGATCCTACAGGATCAATAAGGTAAATCTGTAGGTAATATAATTGATAATTTATAGGACTTTTACCAGCCTCTTGATAAGAGAACCTGTACATACAACTAAAGTATGTGATTTGTAGTCTTTGTGTCATATACTTTTCGTACCCGAAACAGTTTTGACTGGTAAACCGACTGTAATGTACGGAAAAGATGACTAAAGTTAAAATAAGACCTACGATGCCATAAGAGGTAGAGTAGTGATCTTCAGATGACTGATCTAGTTTTATTCTTGATAATAAATTGAAACTTGGAACTGCCAACAGAATTTTGGTTCCAGTTATTTCTTGACTCTGCGATTAACTTTTACACTAACTATTTCAATAAAACAAAAGAGATTCGACTGAGAAAACGATAAGCATGTGAAATAGTACTGATTTGGCTATCTGATACCATCCAGACAGTTCTATTCTAATTAATACATGGGGACGGGGGAATCTGAGTAGCAAACTGAGGTAATGTATAGTTCAAATTAATTGTCCTTTCACTGTTAGTCCCTGTTTCATGTAGCTCATTCAATAAATAATTTTTAGAGGCGTTTGCTTGCAGATTCTACCGTCTCTAGACTTCATATGAGTTAGCGAGTAATTTTAATTGTGCTGAGATTTATACAAATATAATTTTTATATATGTCCACTTTTCCATTGGTGTCCAATTTTTATGCAACTTTTCAGTCGAATCTTGACCAGAGTTCTTACAAAACAGCTAGTAATTTATTGTAGTAGGAACTGTATAGAATATTCCATCTTATCTGAAATCACAAAATGAGAAGTATACTTTGATTCTCATCTAACTACAAGATGTTATCTGGTATTCTAATATAATGTTTCTACCATAAAAAAAATTTGTGATTATTCAGATAAAGGATGTTAAGTAGCTTATTCTTCTCTTCTGATTCAAAAGGATAAAAACATATGCCGACAGTCGGAACTAACGAATATGCTACTGTGAATGACGATAAGCTGTAATTCCGTTTGTAGACCGTGCAACTTTACTGGATATTAACAAAAAAGACTCTGACTAGACTCAGCTAATTCATCTTCTGAATTTATAATCTAAGCATTATTATTGGTTGGAAGATGTCATCATGAGCTGGCATCAGTTAGAGAACCATTGGAAAATCTGCAGGGAGTACTGGACGGCTGTTCCGTTCTAGTTTGTGACTCTTCAGCATACGTACTGTGAAGAGTCCCAAACTAGGACGAAACAGCTTCCCAGTACTCCCAGGTTTTCGAATGGTTCTCTAACTAATGTCAGCTCATCACGAAATCCTGTAACGAATCAATCAAATCCCTACAAAACCAATACTTGAAAATTAAGCATCTTTGAAATTTAAATGGGAAAGTATTGATGCCCTTCTGCCGCTGAGAACAATTTCAATTAACTCATGTAAAATGTTATAAATTAGCCGTATACAGAATAGATATACACACTTACTATTTGTCTGATCAATTCCATGATATAAAAGTACAAATAAATAGGACAAAATAAGCGCTAGTACAGTTTTGATGGTAGGATTTAATTGCACAATATTTGAATACTTATATGTTAAAGGTACTTCATAGTTAATTACAGGCAGAAAAATATACCTAAAGATAATGAGAAAGACAAACAGAAGTTCTATGAAATTTCAACAGTATATATATATATATATATATATATATATATATATATATATTTAATTAAACGAAAAATGTGGGATTATATGGAAAATTAAAGATATTTAATAGTTTTTAGGACTTTTCGTGTCTTGCATGATGTAGAGTCACGATTTAATGACTCCTTTACGTATCATGTTTTGATATTTATAAAACGAAGCCTTAAGGGTTAATTTCTATGCTCATTTTACAATTTAAATAATAGCACTGTTGTAAAGGTGAATAATAAATCTTCGGAATTAACATCAGTAGAAGTGTAGCTCATCGGTTTCACTGCTTGACTTTCAGTAATTAGGTTCAGGCTTTACAGCCTACTTCCATTTAGCCGTTAAACATAAAGTGTAAATCACACTCTTGCATGCAGAATCCCAGCATCGAGTTGAATTATTATTATTATTAGGTGCACATCGCAATATCCATTTGATAAAATGAAGAGCAGATAATTATTTTGTCTAGTTCTAATTTAACCGCACGATAATTTCCACGAAAACATGAGACTAAAACTACTAGTCATAACATATTTAAAAGTAGAATTCGGGCATTGGGGTAGAATATAATTCATTTGATATAACACACAGTAACATGGTGTTAATAACTGAATGACACCAAATACCTGCAACAGGAATATATTTTACATGATTTTGAGCAATAAATGGCACTTCAAACGTCATTCAGTCATTAATACCGCATCATTGTGTGCTTTATATCAAATAAACTTATCTAATAAGGAATTAAGAGAATCTGTTTCACAAGTATATGTTACACTGCAGGAAAATAAGGATATCTGAAAAGGAAATGACGTATGTGTTCTTCCCCTTGGTATTAGAAAATAAAGAATGGGTAATTAAGAAAACAATAAACAGCATAATTACCTTTAGTTAGATAAATATAATCAGTTTTGTCCGCATTAAAGAATAAAAATGAAATATATGATATTCAACAGCATTTTAATTGTTAAAAGAAACATGAATCAATGAATTGTAAGAAATGTATTTTCAGACGCTTTACAGGAAATGGAGAGAACAGGAAATTTTTTGCAAAACTCTAACAAGTAGAACACTGATGAACTTGTTTCACGTTGCATTTAAGGTATTATTTTACTATTTATAGTAAATAATATAATTATGCGTTGAAGTTTCTGTAGCAGTTTGGTTAAGTTTTGGGGGTGGAGTTGCCAGCATCACGCCCCAACCCTCCCTCTTTATCTGGGCTCGGGACCGGCTAAAAAACTAGCGAGCTAGTAATCTGTCTTCGCTGTATACTGGAGATCAGATGGCCGGGCTGGAAAGAATCACCAACAAGAAACTATGGGAACAAACAAAACAAGAACCAATCGCCAACCAACAAATATGCAGGAGAAAGTGGAGATGGATTGGACAATCGCTGAGGAGGCCGCCGCTGGGTGACGTCGCGCGCGTCAGGCCACCGCTCGAGTGGAACCCGCAAGGGAAGCGGCGAGTGGGACGTCAGTGCAAGGGTGATATGGAGGAGATCGTGTGAAGAGGAGTTAAAAGAGTATGGACTAACATGGATGCAGGTGAAAAGTACAGCAGAAGGAAGACAGAAGTGGCAAGTGGATAGGTGCAGTTGAAGTCCTATGTTTCACAAGGAATACAAGGGAACAATAGCAATATAATAATAGTAAATAAGCATTATTTAACCAAAATAAACATGCATCTGTTTAGAGCTACATAGGGTTCATTTCTGTTGACTGACTGAACTTTCAGCACAGAACTTTCCACAAAAATGTAACATTTCAAATTACCACACTTTATACAGCACACAAAGATAGAGAAAAAGAAAAACCTCAAGAGAACTATAATAAACATAGATGTAGGGGAGAAGGAATAATTACATGGAGAAACACAAGGATTTAATGGATCTGGATGATCATAAAGAGTGAATGTGTCTGCGCCACTGAGGAAGATTTTTAGCCATGTCACCAAAAGTCCTCAGTCATTGATTCTTAGCGTCTCGATGACCCCAGTCAGTCAGTTTATACCTCCCTACGTAACTGTCTTTCACCAAAGACTTCATGGATTCATGTCAAGTTTCGATTTGACTACCTCCCACTCTTTCGCAACTTAATCTTATACCAACTAACAACGCTCGTCGAGGAAGGTGATAGCTTGACATGCGTGATACATGTCTTAGCCATCTCAATCGATGCAGCTTCACAATCCCATATATTAACTTGTCTTCTTCAACTAAAACTCTACGCTTGATATCAGTGTTACTCACCAAGTTCTATCATTCAGTACGGGGGAGAGAATTCAGATATCTATGATCAAAGAGAACCAGCCTCTTCATAACTTTCACTTTCAATGGCTATTTCTCACACCCATTAAGAATCACAAAGAGAACTGTTTCGCATGACACACATCGTTTGATCGATAGCCAGATATCGCGTCTACGCCAAAGATGAAGTAAGTTGGCAAATGACACACGAACTGTTTATATCTCTACCGAGTTTTTATCAGCCATTAGGTCACTAGGGTTAATGCAACTTCCCAAATAAGTGAATTGGTCAACACTTTTGTATTTCACTTCAGAATATGTACTCCTAATTATAAATTCTTAAGATATCTCTCACTAGTCTTTTGCGAGAATATGTCAAGCAAAGGAAATAAAAGCAAAATAAGGCAATTTTGATATATTCTTCAATGTTTCATTTTTCCTACGAATGTTATTTTCAGGACAATACATTTGATAGGCTTCCTCATCATAGTCTAATTAAAACGTCATAGAAATAGAAGGATTGTGCAGTTTTCAGTGTAGATGAGCGTACGGTATTATTATGTTGGACCAGAAGCAGGCATTAGAGACAACTTCAATGAGAATAGCTGAATGAATAGACGTCTTATAAAAGTAAACTAAGCAAAACTATTGTTACAGGGTGTAAGCTTCTTTTCTCGCATATTTTTTGTATATATTTAGAACCATGAGTGTATCTTAGCTTCCAGTAAGTCACCAATTGTTGTTATTCAAAACAAAATCTACATTGAAACATGTAACTCATTTTATAAGTATCCCTTTTAGGAGTAACAAGCAACAATTCCCCATGAATACCTACAAATAGCCTTATAAACCTTTTTAACCAAACCACTAAGAATAAAAACGTGGAGGTAGAAAATGCAAAATCACTTACGATTTGATAAAATTATACAATCCACGATCAAATGACCTAAAATGATAATAAATAAGGTGTTAGTTAGTGTATAATTTTGAAGTCTCAATAAACTGGAATGTTAGAAATCAGTACAATATGGCATTATAATGATGACAAAATATTCAGCTTCGCGAATTAAATGCATGTGCTAACCCAGATCATTCACTTGGACATGTAAACTTAACAAAAAGGCTGAAATTGACAATTAAAAAAAACAACAACTGAGTCCTAAGTCTTACTGCAAATGCTGGTAAATTAAGCCAACGAGAAGTATTCATAACCACTATCGAATGTTGTTTTAATTTTGATACCTCATAATAAATTGAAGACATTAGTTAATTTCAAATAGGCTTTAGATGAAAGAAGCTGAAACATGCACTGCTGGAACTCACAGTGTGAAATAATTCGGATTGGTTAATATGGTAACGTGTTCAAATATCACGATAACTCATTATATTTACTATATATTTTATAACTTAGCAGCAATTAAGTATATAACTTAGGCATTACAAAATCCTAAGAAAAAGACGTAAACAGCGAAGAACACTTTCTATGCGACGATTCATTTTCATAAGTTGTACAATCGTGATTATATTTAACAAAGAGATCGTAAGACCAATCAGATACTGGCAAAATTTGTCCTCGAAAAACGTATTACACAATGTGTAAGGTGCAACCTTGAAGGGGTGACTAACTGGAAATTAGAAAAGGGGGCAGAAGTTGTCATGACTTAATGAGTGTGAGGAAATGACTAATCAATATCTTTGTGTAGAGTGGACAAAAACTAGTGGAAAGACGATAAAGTGTTTTTATAAAATCTGTGTGAAAAAACAATGTTATTAATAAACAGTAGTAGAGTGATAATAAAACAAGGATGATGAGAATAATAGTAATAGTGAACTTACATAATAAAAGGAAGCGAAATTATAATGAGAACGTTACTCTGATTACGGTAGGGCCAGGGGATGTATGTGGTGCTTTTGAATGCAGAGGTTCGGTTTCAGATCCCTAATAACCAATGATTCAGCTATGTATAGATGGTGTATTCGAAGTACTTTCGTACGATATAACAAAGTCCACCTGATGCTAAGGTATGTTGTGCCCGCAGAATTTATACAGGGGATTATATGAACTATATTAATTGCATGTTAACTTTCCTTAATATAAACCCAAACTGGCTAACCCTCAGTAAGTTAAATCTTCCCATTTTTTATGAAGTAGCGAGGTATCAGAACGCCTAGATGTAAAAAAAAGACTTAATATACCTACTCCCCCAGAATATTAAAACCTCTCCAGTATAATTTGTCTACTGAAAGAGAAATGCCATGTTTTTTTCAATGAAAGTATTACACAGAGACGTATAAAAAAAGAGCATTATGAGAATTCATATTGAACAACAAAACATGAAATAATATTTCAACTAACCGCCAGCATTCAGAAGTCAAAAGAACGTGTAGTAAACATGATGGTGGATCAGGTATATACGAAACTTGAAGTCGATGTAAACCATCACAGGATTTTCTGACTTCATATAGATTTTTTTTACATGAACCATGTATTACACTCAATAACTTGTTGAATAGATTAATAAGAAGCCATTCTAAATTTATAAGTACATATGGCCATCCATAAAATTGTAAATATGTCATAAATAAGTGTAAACCACGCAATGACATGATTGCACCAATTGTACCACGATCAATAACAAAGTCATTTTTATTTAATCTATTCGATAAATCATGGAGTTGTACATAAGGAAATAAATATCCAAATGAATTAGGATAAACAAAGCATAAACATAATGACCAAAATGAATTCCAAAATAATAGTCGAATAGCTTTGAATAAAAGTGATAGCAATATTGAAAAGAGTGTCTTAAAACTTGCTGACTGACTGGATGACAAAGAGTTACAATTTACCTGAAAATACAACAACAACATGTTGATAAGGATAATAACATTATTCCATTTGTTTTTATTAAATATAAGAACATTTAGAAAACATATATTATTATTTTTCCAGTTTGACCATGGATTGACATCAGTTAGAGAACCATTAAAAACCGACGAGTGCTGGACAGCTGTTTCGTCCTAGTTTGAAACTCATCGGCAGTACGCACTCACTGGGATTCGAATCCACGACCTTCCGATTACAAGTCAAGCTCGTATACCATTCAACCTCTGGGACCCGATTCAATGGCCATCACATGAATTCTAACTTCTACCAATTAGTGATGTTGGTGCGACCACCAGCCATTGTCATCGGCGGGAACTCCATCCTCACTCCCAACTGGATGGACCTCATCAGTCATGACTTCTCACTAGAACTCCAGGAAACTCCATCCTGTAGCAAGTCACTAGCTAGCGTTAGATTAAGTTCCAAGAATTGATTTGATCCAGTCGGTAGTGAAGATGGAGTTCCCGCCGATGACAATGGCTGGTGGTCGCACCAACATCACTAATTGGTAGAAGTTAGAATTCATGTGATGGCCATTGAATCGGGTCCCAGAGGTTGAATGGTATACGAGCTTGACTTGTAATTGGAAGGTCGTGGGTTCGAATCCCAGTGAATGCGTACTGCCGATGAGTCTCAAACTAGGACGAAACAGCTGTCCAGCACTCGTCGGTTTTTAATGGTTCTCTAACTGATGTCAATCCGTGGTCAAACTCGAAAAACAAATCAAATTCTTACAAATCAACTCCTGAAAATACATTATTTTACTTGGTGGATGGAATCTATATTTTGATAGTATTTTAAAGCAGCTGGGTACTGTGGGTACTGTGCGTCGGTGGCACAGTGGTTAGGACTCTCGCCGACCATGCACATGGTCCGGGGTTCGAGCCCTCGCCGACGCACACCTGATATCTATGGTCGGCCTGCGAATTTCGGGCTACCGATATCCACGCTGAAAATTCCATACTTGTACCAAAAATACAGTGTGGAATCAAGCTGTAATCAAAATTTAAAAAAAATAGAAACTAGACCACTGTTTGTACATATCTGAAGAAAAGTTTCTGTACTACTGTTATTCTAAGAACAAATAATTACGTTGAAAATCAAAAGCTCATTATAACCACGAGCTGCATTTACTATTATTTTAAGAACAGATTCGTTAAATTAATTTCTAGCATTCTGAATAAAATTACTGTTTCTAGACGTAAGAAACCACTGAAGATGTCTGTTATGACACTTATCTATTCAAATACATCGTTTAAACGGTGGGCGCTAGGTTCGGGTCTCAATGGGAACACCATCACTAGCTGCAAGACAAAATGTTATATCTAGGTGATGAGTCGACAGTAGGAAGAAATGCGAAATCCAGATTCCACTACTAGTCATAATCCACCAAGTAACAACATATTAATCCTCAGAAATCGTCGAAGCGTCCATACTAGGAGTTGACATGTAAACACAGACCAAACATCCCTGTACAATACAATCAATCAATCAATCAATCAACGGGAAATACAAAATTAAATTAAAAAAGTATATTGTTTTAGTTGAAAAATCTCGTTTAAAAATGTGAGGCATTAATACCAATTTCCTACTTGAGTTCAGTAATACCGAGCAACTTCTATATGAAATGGTGGTTCTAGTACCCAACTCAATTAACTACTAAAGTGTTTTACAATCTAGAACTAATCACACTGATTCCTCCAAAACTGTTATAGATTTGTAAATAATTTTTATAGACAGAATTGACAGTAATTTTGATAAATTCTTACCCAAAAATCATGCCATTCTGAATACAGAATTAAAGGACCTAAAAATAGTGCATGTGGATAAAAAGAATAATCCAAGGCATCCAGTAGAATAGTCAATGAAAATTTTGAGTCACACTTTATTGTTGGTTCCACTTTCGCTTCACGTTCACGAGTAGATGACCTGGATTTGTCTGATAATCTATGAATTGATAATGCCACACTTAAACCACGTAGTATTATGTAAAAATGTGCAGCATACAAAAGTACAAACCATTCGTGTGATACTGAATGACGAATAAACAGTGATACCTAGTATACAAAATATTAAACACGAAAAGTGATAAAATATGTATAAATTATGGGTGAAGCAAAATATATGTTTTTTTAAATTATAAACTTAGATATAAACTGAAGCTAGGTTCGCCTTGGTTCAGAACTCTTCAGCAGTATGCATAGATTATCCTGAGCAAAAAGCAGTTTTAGAATCACTCGATCTCTAACGAGTTCAATAAACCCTGTACAGTTAAAAGGGTATCTTTCATTTTCATAGCCTCAGTAATTTAGCTTTTAATGATTCATTCATTTCATTACAATAAGTATAAGGAGACAAATCTTATTATTAGAAGTCTTGAAGTAAACGATAGACATGCCTTTCTCCTAAATTAATGAATAAAACAGACAGAAAATAGTTTCATGCAGATAAATGCACAGCAGTAAACTTTCATATGTCATTTAGATAAATGTCATAGATCTAAGCATATTGTTAATATAATGTGCAGCAGAGTAAAAGAAGTTGTAGGAGTAGATATTTATAAAGGGCCAAGTATAAAGTATGTCAACAGTACTGTTTTCAAAACTTTCTACTTAATTAAACTGAAGTAATTTCAAAAGAATCAAATGAATGTGGACATTTAGGTATATGGGTGGAAAGCACCAACCTGTAGTTCGTACAGAAACCTAGTTTCTTAACAGCTGTAATCACTTTAGTCAGTTAATATGGTTTAAACTTTCCGCTTGAGTCCTTTGCAATAAAATTCGATGAAATGATTCTGTACTCCTTTTGTGATGGATGGTCATGTAAAACTGATTTCCATGAGACAATAAACTTATTTTGAGGACATTTGCTATTTGAAGCATTAATGCCCAAAAATAGAAGTTTCGGGACTTGTTCCGTCAAATAATACACGTTCCAAAAACAATTCGACAAAAACATCTCTGATGCTACACAATATACTTTTATGTATGACAGATAAAGCATTTAAAACAATAATAGAAATCAACTGGAGAAAATTTGTTCTCTCTAACCTCATAACTCGCTGAACTAATAAAGAATTCAGATACTTGAAATATCAAAACAGTGAAGAACCAAATTACAATGCGATTCCCAGAAACCAAATAGCTTATGCACAAGAAGCACAGTAAATTGAACAAAATATCAATAACCATGTTAAGTCCGACCATATGAACGACTAACCAAGTAGATAAAATTGCACGACAGCATTTGTGTATCTATACAAATAAATAATAAGTAAACAGAATCTACCTTTGGCTTTGTCAGAGTAAATATTATTGATGAAGCCAGTGAATGCAGTAATAAGTAAGGGACAAAACTCATCCATAATGGAAGCAATGTCCATTGTACCTCTGCTGCATCTTGCAATAGTGCAAAATCTGAAGCGAAAGTAATATTCCTCAAGTGTAATAAGCTCTGGTAATCTACACTGATTAGATCATAAAGGTTTGTTACCCGGGTTTTTTGAAGATAAAAACAGTCTATAAGTAGAATAATTAAGAATACCTATGGCAGTGACAGCATAAATACTCCTTTCCAGATAAACAAATGAGGTCTTTGCAAACATTATAATTTTAAATTGTTCACAATATTATATCTGCTGAAAAGAAAATATTAAGAAAGCAATATTACAGAGCTTATAATTCACAAATTCACTTGCACAAGATTATGGACTAGTCATATTGCCAGACTGAAGGTAGGTGATGGACACTGTCTTTGGTTTACTTTAACACTAATTGCGTTCGTAAGGAAACAGAAGGTTGACACTAAAGGGTTTAGATTGGATTCATCTTGATTAATTGTCAACTCTCAATATTTATAACTAAATTATCGAAATTATTCAGATGATTTTGAAAAGCCAATAAATTATAACTATCATACATTTTACACTGTCTGTTTTTTGTTGTAATACATTGAAAATAAGTTCCAATGATTATCACAGAGACCTATAAATGTGTCTTTAAGTCATACCAAAATACGATGGTAAGAACATAAGTTTACGGTCTAATTGGCAAATCACCATTTACAAAATGTTTGCATGGCAGGTAGGCGTATATGATAAGTACTTGGAAAACAATAAAGAGATAATAAATATTCCATGAAATATCTTCTGAAATGATTTCACAATCCTAAAAGAATGCAAGTTAAAATTTACTACTTCTTCAAGCGAGTGCCTTTCTGAGGGGTATCAAGGGTGCTGGACTTCATTTCCGTTAACACTAACTAGAATATTTGTAAACGAATCTTGTAAAAAGATCAGTATTTCGTGGAGTAACCCCCAATGGATAAATTAGCTTCTAATTTGTAAAGCCATTACAAATTTTCATATTTTCGGATTTACTCGCTTCGAGAAACTATGACCATTACTAATTTAACCTTTATTACATAAATTCAGTAGTTATTAGTTGCCCAAAAGCAGCTTGACTACATTCTCATTAATCTCTCGGTCATAATCACGAAATAATGGCGATGTGTATGTGATTATAAAGATGTTTCCAGATATTTCCAATAAGCAGAAATATGGATTTACAAACATGCAGAAATCTTTTATCAGGAAAACAAACCTTATACTTGAGAGCTGCATTCCATATTCTGAGTGTTACAATGATATACCACAAATAATAGATAAACGTAACACAAACTTCACATTCATTTAATAGAAGCTGACCGACTATAATAGGACACTATAATACAGACGTTCTTAGTAACTTATATAACGCAAGTGATATGAACGCAAGTTATCAGTGTTTTTTTCATCGCTCTGCCTCATTTTTAATTCACTGTAACTAATAAGACAAACAGTCTCGTTTATTATATGATGAGCTATCATTATCCGATTGGGAGTTTGGCGTTTATACAAAAGGCCAAGAGGTTTAGTTTAAGATAATGGTGAACTAAATATCTATAAAAATGTCATTTTAATATCTAGTTTCTTCCTTTCTGTGGCTGAAAAGTGCAGATACTTAAACTACCACACTTTTATGTGGTATTACGTTATGATTTGAGTCAATCATTTCGAATCAAATAAACACTGTGATGCTTGAGGAGCCACTATAGAAAACTGCTATAAAGCAGTTATTAAGGGGGCTGCAGAACGACCCTACTGGATACATTTATCTTACACAAACAAGAGTTAGTTTAACGAGATAGGTAGAATAATTGATATTTTTCAAATGAACTTATATATCAAATGTTAGCCGTGGTTACTTGATACCACTTATTCATTTGATCAGTTCGGATAATAGTAAAATAGTTTCTGCTGATGAAGCGTGATCATAATCCACAACTAAGTCACTTAAAGACATCTGGTTATTAGATAGTTGGAGGCGAGCTACCCCGAATGGTAGTCACATTGCAAACCTGAGTGGTGGAATTCAATCTACACCGAAGAAAGGACTAGAAACATCACATAAGTTACTAGTGTCCAATCAAACGTTTGGTTATTATTCATGTAGTTGTTATACGCATCAAGGTAATGAAAAAAATGAGCGTATATTTACCAAAGAGACGAGAAAAGATCTTCACAAAATAAAACATTTATAAATATGATAAAGCAACTTTATAAGTGAAAACAACCGCCTCTTGACATTTGCCTTTCTGAGAGATTCATCCGAAACTGAGTAATGAGTTTGCTGAAAATATGCAAACTCTTGCCTTTTGTGTTTCTCAACAGAATGTTATCAACCCTTATTTCTACGCATTAATATCAATTCACTGTGTGAATAGTATCTGTTTTATTAGCGCTGCCTAATTTCTAGTAACAAACCACTAAATACTTTCACACACATTATGAAAATTTCGCAAAATCAAATGATTTACTGATTTTATTGAGTTCTTATGCTTCAAATTATATTAAAACCTTTCAGGATACCTGTGTAGGAACCTAAACGAAGAATTCTGTTATAAAATAGGATCGTCTGTATGAAATATTTGTTGGCACACCAATTTATCCACAGAGAGAAGTCAATTATAAATACTGTCAGTTAAGTGTTAAGATACCTCCGAATGGGAACGCGATAGGATTCTTTTGCTACTACAGATTAAAATACCTTGAAATGGTACAGTGACAAGAATAAATTGTTCAGTTTTCAGTAGTAGTATTATCTAGCACAACTTAAATGTATTTGCAGTGTCCTTTCTTTCCTAGAACATTTGTCTGATCTACACTGAAACAGACCGGTCAATCCTGTCAACACAGTGAAAAGAATTATACAGTAATTAGAAAATGGTAATAACAAGGCTGAGTTTTTAGGAACACTATATCCATATTTACATAATGAGTGTGGTTTCATAAACCATACAGAAAATTTAGGAATTAAATGAGATTGATAGGTAAAAAGATTTCCCTAGGTTAATAAATAAAGCAGAAAATATGCTTCTCGAGAAAAGTAACGGCATGTGGAATGAACTAAGTCAAATTGCATAATTCAGTAAATTTCGACTATTTGCTCTTCTATTCTATACACAGTCTTTCTTCCGCCGTAATATGAAAAATACTGCAATGGATAAAATGTCAAGGAGCGAATCGTTAGAAGACTTCTGACACTCGACAACTCACAGCGAATTCTCCTAAGTACAAAACTTGAGGATAATTTGGTAGAGGACCAGTATGAAAACCTGGGAGAAATATAACAGTTTTCCCTAAATCGTCCTCATACTTTTAATTTAGGTAAGATTTCACGTATTTTCCTCAGTGTGTCAACCCACAAAAGCGCTAGACTAATTCCAAAACATGTGTGCACAATTTGGCCCAATGCTAAATGTATGTTCTGTGTGCTGAAAAATGCTTATTACGTGCTGATTTAATGAACGAAGCGTGGGAAAAACAACCACATGAATGCCAGGTAGCGCCTATTCTAAGAGTAAATAACGCTAGCTGGTGTTAAAATTGAAGCTGAAATGCCAACAGAGGCCGAAGTGATGCAAATAATGCCGAAAACTCAAGAAAGTGATGACTTGTGTGGGAATTTCCGCACAAAATAGTTTCCACCACACGACTACCATGTAAAAAGCAACAGTTTGTAGTTTTTACTATTATTCACGCATTTTGGTGAGCTCGGTAGGGAAATCAATGTATACGAGTTTATAAACGCGACATAGCATAATTTCTTAAAAAACCAAACCTATACTAATTAAAAGCCGATCTAAAAGTAATTAATACTTGTGAACTAACTCTCCCATAAATAAATTCTTTCGAATCTCACAAAAAATTGAAAAACAGACCCCCACAATGGACCTTTCTATGTAAACACATAACGGTCGCAAGAATATGTAAAAAAATCAAATAGTCCACGTCCAACATCCAATATCCCTTTGGTGACCTAGTACCTTTCTTTGATCTCACTTTCTAAAAGCGGTTTAATGTCTCTTGATTTTCAATAACTTACTTTGTAGTTTTTTCATACTGCTCGCCTGTCGTATTTTTAGAACACTCCTATTGGAGTGATGTGTGGCTGGTTGTATCTGAGTAGTAGGATGCAGTTTTAAATAATTCGACTGAATCGCCTGTTTCCATTTTCCAAGGGTTCTGATGAGAATTCTTCACAAATTTAATGTGTAATTTGAAGCGATAAACTAATAGCAGATAGTAATAGATAAACAAATAATTACAGCACGCTTGATTAAATTGAGTGATAAGAAAACTGAAACTCAGAAGACTATGTGGGGATCCATGGTCACTTTAATTGATAACTCACTGATAGGTTGGGGTATCTGATGGCAAATCTCAGTCTGTCTGACACTGTCTGAGCGTTGCTGCATGATTATCCATTCTCTGCTTGAAAGCTGACTGTTGCTGGCAGAGTTCCAAGTACTCTGCTGATATCCAGAATGGCTTGTATAAACCTATTAATTTCTTGGCCCTCATATTATTATTTCTGAATGTACATTATCCAATACTGATTTTTATTCAAATATCTAGTCCATCCCACATATGTATGTAAATAAAGGACAAAGTTGTACGAGTAACTTGATATGATTATGAGCAATAGTTTTTGCTCGAAACGTCATCAGTTATTATTATAGCATAATTCTGTGTGATTTGTCAAAATAAAATCTTGTCCATAATGGATTTATACTCTACCACAGTGCCCAAGTTTTATACTTATATCTTGGAAATCGCTTCTCAATGTTCGCTAGCTTTTATAACTACGGGCGATTTCAGCGACTTAGATAAATCCACAAGCCCTTTATTGTAATATTATTATTTTATTTTTATTTTTTGATTACAGCTTGATTCCACACTGTATTTTGGTACAAGTATGGAATTTTCAGCGTGGATACCGGTAGCCCGAATTTTGCAGGCCGACCATAGATATCAGGTGTGTGTCGGCGTGTGCTCGAACCCCGGACCGTGTGCATGGTCGGCGAGAGTCCTAAACACTGTGCCACCAACGCACAGTGGGTTCCTAGTGGAACATACGGCTTCAACTGCACGTCTCCACTTGCTTCTGCCTTTCGCTTTCCTTTCACCTGCATCCATGTTAGTCCATACTCTTTCAACTCCTCTTCACACGATCTCCTCCATGTCACACTTGCACCGACGTCCCACTCACCGCTTCTCTTTCGACCTGATTCCACTCGAGCAATGGCCTGACGCGCGCGTGATGTCACCCAGCGGTCTCCTTTGCAAGTGTCCAATCCATCTCCACTTTCTCCTGCATGTTTTTAGTTTGGCGATTTGTTCTTGTTTTGTTTTTTCCCTTAGTTTTTTGTTGGTGATTCTCTCCGGCCCGGCCCGGCCCGTCCATCTGATCTTCAGTATGGAGCGAAGACAATTGTTGATAAAGGTCTGCAATAGTCTGTTGAAAATATTCTTTGTTACCCGCCAAGTTTCGGATCCGTATAGAAAAGCTGACTTGATGTTTGTATTAATAATCCTACCGAATTTTGTTGTTGATGCTGAATGACGAAGATTTCCAGATCGGTTTCAGGTTGATGAATGTGTTTCTCACTCGCCTTCCCGATTCTCGCTCGATTTGACATCCTCGTCCGTTCCGACTGCCTGTAGTTGGGACAATGCTCCCTAGATAAGTGAGTGAATGAAGTCACTAACCTCTTTCAAATCCCTCCCGTTGATGGTGATTGACGATGAATGTTGTCGTTGTTGTTGGCTGGTTGGTTATTTTCATAACCTCCTTCTTGTCTATGTTCACGTGGAGTCCTCTCTTCGCCGGCTGCTTCTTCGACCAGTTTGTCGGTTTTCGCTTGTAAGTCTTCGATTTTGTGACAGTGACATCAAACATAAATCATCCACGCGCGAAATCCAGGTCTTCTAGGTTCTTCATATCGGTCGGTCCAGGATATCCCTGTCTTCTCGTTTCCAAGCACTGTCTGACGCATAATCCAGTCCCCCACAATTTGGAATATCATTCATTGGTAATAATAAGCACCCTTGTCTGACTCCAGAGTTTGCTCCAAACGCCCCGCTGAGTTTTCCGTTGTGGATCACTTGACATGTTCCATTGTCGTACAGATGTTGAATAAGGTTGATGAATATTTAGGAGCTACACGCCGTAGTACTCGAGTAGTATCCAAATTACTTTGCGGTCGACGCTACCAAAGGCCTTCTCGAGGTCTATAAAGTTGAGGTAGAGGTTTGATTGCCATTCCATGCTTTGTTCTGTGGTGATGATGCGTAGGGTTGCAATTTGGTCAGAACATGATTTGCCCCTCCTGAATCCAGCTTGTTCTGGTCGGAGTCCTGTATCCAGTGCGTCTTTTATTCTCTCCAGGATGATGCGACTCAGGATATTACTTGGCGTCGATAGGAGCATGATTCCTCGCCAGTTCTTTCCGAGTCCTAAGTCGCACTTTACTTGCTTCTCTGATTATGTACGATGAAATCTCTGGGCTGATAAGCAGATAATTATTTGGGAATTATTTACCCCCATAGTCCACTTCCCTAACAGATGGTTTAGGTGGACCCTACAATACTATCAGCAGGAAGAATATGGACATACATAGGCAATGCTGGCAAAGCCAACAGTCTACAGGTGTGCAAGGTATATTTCCCGGGAGATAGCTAAAAATGTGTCGGCACCAAGCGCGCTGATACTAATATCTGATTACCACATAGATGTGTCTCACTGCGTATTTTGTCCAGTCGACAGACCATCCCTGACTACTATCTCACAAACCTGCCTGAAGTCTTCCTATGATCCAAAGATATTGGTAAGCGAGTCTAATAACATGTATACAGAGAATACTCACGGATTATTTTATCCAAATGTTGTCCGCTCACTGAAACCACGATGCCAGTGTTTATATATTATCCTAGCAAACACTAGATCAGTTCTAAACAAACACTTAACACTAAGTAGATTAGCTTCTATATGCAGACCGTCATTGATTGTGATTACTGAAGCCTGGCGCACAAGTGAAATCTCCAATGACAGACTAAGGATCGATAAATACAACCTTTTTCGAGGAGACAGACTAGAGGTCGTGGGGGGGAGGGGAAAAATAATTTGCTGCGAACAATCCATGTGTGCAACCCAGTTTAGTAACTCAATTCTGTCACAACTCAATGACTCGATCTTTGTCGAAATAAAAGCGACCATTAGTAAACCTATAGTTGTGGGTTGTGTGTACCGACCCACTTTATCCGGAAGGGAATATGGTGATATGCTCAGCAACATTTTTAATGTTACAGCCAATCTTCCCTTGAGTTATAAAATTATCGGAGGTGATTTTAACATGCTAGAAGTATTGTGGTTTGCACCCCGAGGACCCAAAGGTATGATTATCTCACGAATTCCATCGTCACAAGAGGGTGGACACAACGCATAAGCTCACCCATTAGATCCGCAAATATCCAAGGCCTTATTTTCACAAACAACATAAAACCATCTACAGTACATGTGGGAAATGAATTTCCAGGTAGTGACCATAAAATAATAGTGCGTTCTCCTTACATCTTTCTTGAAACAAAACGCAGAGATGAAGTTGGCCAGATACCTATGAGACTGTACACAAATGCTAACTGGAACTTGTATCATCACCTAATTAGATGTTCTAAATGGGACTCGTACTTTTCGAACGAGTCCTTGGAGGTAATTCTTAACAACTTTTATCACAATATTAACTCGACTCATGACGTCACTGCACCTGAGGAGATTCTTAGCTTTGGATTCCCCCAAACAAATTGCATTCCGACATCATTGAGGGGAAATCTACGAAAGCACTCAGTAAAACACCACAGATATCATGACTTATCATCGTTAATTGCTATTACGCCCCTTCTCAATAGGATTGAAGAGCTGAGAAATATAGGCATCAGAAGCAAAGAAATGCGGGCCATTCAGGCGCCGCATACTTCAGGAGAAATAGCCAAACTTTTCAAAAGTAGGTTGGTGAACTCCAAAACAGCCTATCCAAAAATAATATACTTGGGTGGCATTGCTTACGAGAATACCGGGGTGATGTGTGAACTGTTTAGAAAGCCCTTTGCCAGATTATACACCTTAGAGAACATTGGGGTCGTGGATTTCCCACGTAAAACAGACGAATGTTTAAGTGACATACTTTTCACCACACAGTAGGTCGATAAAGCTGTCGCAGATCTTAAGTTTATTAACACTATTGGTCCAGACGGTATATCTTTCATTATGCTGAAAAACGGTGGTAATGACATGAATTTACTCCTACGCAAGTTATACTCTCTTTCACTAAGCGATAGGAATGTACGCTACCTTCTGGAATGAGTTTTATAATGTAACTATCCATAAATATCAACAACTACTGTCCCATCAACATCACGTCTGTAGTTTTACGTGTAATGAAAAAGATAGTAAAGACTGAAATCATTTAGTACTTGCTTTCGAATGACCTACTATCCCCATCCCAATACGGTTTCTGAAGTCGAAAGTCGTGCATTACTTGCCACTTAGATCATTTCGACTACATGACACAATGCATTGGTAATGGGTGTTCATTAACAACATTATTCACCGACAATAACAAAGCCTTTGATAAAGTCCCACATATCGGACCCATAACAAACTCCAATCCTACGGAAGAACTGGAAAACTTCTCAAATGGATAAATTCTTTTCTCACAGAAAAAGAGCAATTAGCCAAAATCAACCACCAGCTATCTTTACCAAAGCCGATAACTAGTGGAGTAATACAGGGTAGCGTTCTTGGCCCTATTCTATTCCTCCTATTCATAAACAACATAGTCTCCGTGATCAAGTACGGCAAGCCACATGTCAATGGAAGTGAACATTGAACGTTGATTCATTGGCCTTGGTCGCCAATGGTGGGCAACTCGAAGGCGTGAATGGTTCAATCGCTTACAGGTTCCAAGAAGACGAAAGAAAACAAATAAAGACTGTGTACTAACTTCGATTCTAATAGCCAAATAATACAACTTCTTTCGTACGATACTGGGTGTTTTGGAGTTAAAGTCGAGAATCAGTCATAGTAATTATCGGTTCGGAGCGTCTTCGTAACAATAGAAACATAGGGTTTAGTTCCTTGACACCACACCTCTTCTCAGGGGTTCTCAAGATATCATATGATTATGGGCACGATGATATGAGCGTCGAAAGCAAGACTTAACACGA